TCAACTTCTATGAGCATGACGAGGAGTTGAAGTAGCGAAAAAGAGAATTGAGAAAAATATTTTGACGAGGTGTAGTAAGAGTTTTTTACAAAAATCCAACACATTTGTTGAACGCAGCAAGCTATGTGAACGACGCTTGGGATTCGATCTTGTCAAGTTATACAAAAATGCATTTTGTAATGCAGAGCTCATGAATTTGGAACCTGAATCATGGATTGGGAGCAAAATTAGTTTGATAGTCGCTGAAATAGTTGAAACAATCAACAACTTAAATTTATCGATTGACCAATCAGATTTGGAACATTTTGTTCACATTGACAACAAAAGCAATGAAAAATATGCTGCAACACTACTTGAAGACGTGAAGGAATTGTTAGATATGATGAGGAGTGATGAAAAAAATCTTGATGACGACGAGATTAATAAATCTGAAGAGATTATAGATTCAGATGGGATTGATTTTCATGAATTTGAATACTTGTATAAAAAGATTTTGATATTGAGTATCAATTGTTATGTTCTATAGTTCAAGTAGAAGTCCAAGATTCATTTGACGATCGCAAGTAGTAATTTGAAGTATTTCAAGCTTATGTACAAGTATCAGTAATTAAATCAATATGCAAAAAAACCAAAATATGCGTTAGATTACAATTCATAATATGTCACACTGAAATCTTTGAACTTTACAATGAAATCGCTTAAAATGTTAAAAAGTAAATGTCAACAAAAGGATTCTTAATGCGCAAAAGATAGTTTTTAGAGTATAATATGATGATAATTCAATTCTCATTTGATATATTCCGGAGAAAGTATGAAGTATCACATTAACTTCAGAAGTATGTTGTCTGATGAAGACACAAAAAGCTTATAGAGCAATAGAAGAAATTCATTTTGATTTGCTTGCTATGAAGAAATTTCCCTCGGCTTTTCTTCTTTCTCTCACTTTGGCACGACAAGAGTTTGCAGTGAATATTATTATTTTGACTTCTAGAAAATAAAATAGCTTGTTCAATTGTAAAAACATTTGATATCACTTTTGCTTGCTTGCGCTCTACAAGAAGTTAACTACATCACGCTCTAATACTTTTACTTTAGTCTAACGTTCTAGTGTTTTGATTCGTTGGATATCAATCCTTGATCTTGATACGCACGATATATTTTCCGCTTCACTTCTGTAAGCGGATTCTACGTATAGTGCTTAAGAAAATTAAGCATGGATGTGCTAGGGATATGACGGTATGATATGAATTTTGGTATCATATGGTTATCTGTCCAAGACCTTAACACAGACATGTATATGAATTTGGGACCTGTAACCATCTTTAGTTAGTTAGAACTAAAGTATAGGTTACTCTAAATATTGATGTAGATACTTTAGTGTGCACTAGTCATAGTTGCCACGTCAGCGATCCGCGCACTTGGTAGGTACAGAGTGGATGTGTTAGTTGACAGTGCCATGTCAGCAATCCGTGTGCTTGTAGGTAAGGATTGAGTGTGTTAGTTAGTGTGTTAGTTGGATGTGCCACGTCAGCGATCCGTGTGCTTGTAGGTAAAGATTGAGTGTGTTAGTTAGTGTGTTAGTTGGGTGTGACACGTCAGCGATCCGTGTGCTTGTTAGGGTTATCCGTCACGTCCTCCATCCACTAGGAGTGGGATGAATGGTGAGGATTAGATCTTATCTCCTTGTGCTTGTTGGTGAAAGCTATATAAGGGAGAGGAGAACCATTGTTGGTATCTCTCATCTTCAGAGTTTATGTTTCTATCTTCAAGTGAGCTTCTCTTTAAACCCTAGTGTTATAGGACCGTCCGGCAACAAAGAATAATTCTGATGGATCTTATGATCATTTATCTTGTCTTGTTGGAATCTGTTTTGCATCTCACTTTATCAATCCAAGATCAATGTACACTCTATTTGAAATTCACCTGATGTGCAATGTCTTAAACGGAGATAAATTCTACAAGAAATCATAATGATTGCGGAAGTAGATTAATAGTTTGGAAAATTAGTTAGAGAAGTGAGCTTGTGCAAAAGTGAACAAGTGAATAGGTTGATTGCTGTATGACGACGTCATGCATGTAAAAAATTCTACATGTGTCGATGTGAATCTATATGTGCTTCCAAAGGTCTTAGAGAGTATGATGTGAGGAGCATTGGGATTTCAATTGTAAGCCAGAATTTGACGGATCTGAGAAGTGAAAACACCGAGGCAAAATTGGCAAATAACAAGAAAGTTGCGTGGACGGTAGAAGTGCGAACCAAGCGTATGCGGATGACAAAGTTCAAATTTTTTGACAGGTTGACATGCGGTGATCAGGCCAAGTGCGCGTTGACAGGCGAGACTTAACAGATGATTTTTGAAAAATCAAGGAATTTTGACAGATTTTTTGATCATTATTGAGCTATCGACAAACAACTATTGATCGAGCGCAAGTGACAACAATTGGGCAGTGCAGTTGTGAACGAGTGCACGCTAACGGTGGGTGGTTGCGCACATGCACGACGCAAACATATCGCGCGGAAGATAAGCGCACGACAACTTCCTTTGATCCGGCGACGACACGTGCTGTTTTCCACGTATGACACGTCAACCTCCCATTGGGCGTCACGTCATCATCTAACAAGTGTCACATAACTCTCCTGAAGTCACGTCAATCCAAACCAGCAGTACGTCATCCCACAGGTTGTCACGTCTATCTCATAAAAGCATGATTTTTTGATACGTGACGTGAAGTAGACGTATGACGCTTGATGCACCGACACGTGTCACACATTGGATGCGCGGTGCGATGACATAAGTGTACATGAAAATGTCACGTAGGCGTGGTTGCACGTTGGGGTAGATCATGTAGACGATTATATGATGATGATGTATCATTGATATTAACTTGTCTAACTTTACGTTAGAAAGACGGAGCTGCAGAAATTTGTATATCAGTAGTTGTTTTTGTTATATTCGATGCTTTGGAGCTTGATGACTTGATGTATATGTGAATTTAAATTCAACACTGTTCGGAAGTTTTACACAATAACGCTAAAGTCATCCACATGTGGTTTACAAGTGACACACATTAGATAAGCGATGCTGTGAGGTCAAATCTTGAGTTTACACGTGGCAAAGCCGCATATACAAGATGTCACGCAGACACAGGTAGCACGTTGGGGCAAGCCACGTAGATAGTTATATCATGATGATGTATCATTGATATTAACTTGTCTCACTTTATGTTGGAGAGCATGAGCTAAAGAGTTTTGTATATTAGTAGTTTTGTTTGTTGGATTTGATGTTTTGGAGTATGATGACTTGATAAATATGCGCATTTGGATTCAACATCATATAGAAGTTTGACACATATAGAAGGCACCAACATGTGGCCGAACAGTACGTGCAAGACATCACAAATGTGCAGGTAGCACTTTCGGGCAAATCACACAGACAGTTATATCATGATGATGTATCATGGATATTAATTTGCTTGGCTTTACATTGGAATGCTTAAGATGTAGAAATTTGTATATCATAAGTTTAATCTAATGTCAATTTGACACGTGATTGAGCCGCACGTGTGAAACGTCACAAAGACGACTCAAGTAGCACGCTCGGACAAAACACGTAAACAATTATGTTATGATGATGTGTCATCGATACTAACTTGACTAACTTTACATTGGAGAACTTGAGCTGCAAAGATTTATGATCAATAGTTTTATTTGTTGAATTTTATGTTTTGGACTCTCTTTTATTGAAGGTTGAGATCAAAATGATTTGAAATCAACCGACAAGTTTATTAAAGCTGCATTAACATTAACACAATTCAACTAGAATCTCTGCGTTGGAGAAAACAAAGCTGAATGTTCTTTGTTATTGGAAACCGTAAGATAAAATTCTATGACCTATCAAAATAAAATATGAAAATTTTTTACAATTATGATCTTGTGCATGGAATGAATTTCACAAACAATATGATATGTAAATTATGGCTGAAATTTACTAAAAAATGCTCTAGGAATAAAAATGGATTTGTATAACCATGTATGCGGAGAACTTGGCTGCTACGGCTCCAATCGCCAAACATCCACTTGTATGAGTTAGCATTCTCTTCAAGTTGTAAAACTGATAATAACTAAATGAGCATTAGTAATATGGTTTCTATTCTTAAGTGAATACCATAATCTGCCTGAGTCAAAACACATCAATCGGAACATCATGTTCACAAAATTGGACATATCTGTATCGTACCTGTGGAAGTAATGTACTAACTGCCTCATCTAGACCATTTCGTACATTTCAACAATAATATTTTCTCCATCCTTTTTACCCGGAAATTAATTTTTGTGGCCTTGAATCTATGGCCCCTGATTATACAACATCGCATTCAAGGTCATGCAAAAGCGATGGGAGTGTTTTGAAAGTACAAAATAGGAAGCCAAGTCTCCAAGTAATTCGTCCCTAGATACTTGACCGAATAGTTTTGTCAGTGTCAAATTTGTCAGTTTGATGAGACGGTTGTCAAGTGAGCAATTGATAGAAGCTTTCCAAAGTCATGTTGCAGAACTAGCTCTAGTTGATATAATTTATAGAAGAGATTTTGAGAGTACAGGCATATGGTTAGTTATCAACAAATAGTTAGTATTTATATCGATTGCTTGTTCAACATGTGATCCAACTTTCTGCGCAATCTTTGGATGTCGGGCGTGGAGCTTACGACATCCAACTAAGTACAGAACTATTCCACAGTTGTGCACTTACTGTGGTAGGATCTCCGCACCTTACCGCCAGATCCACCGTCAAATAAGCCGCCTCGAACATGGAGCAGTGTTCAGTGAGAACGAGCAGCAGAGCAAGAGAACTCCCGCCAAAGGTGGGCATTCCGCTACTTCTGGATATGGTCGATTTCATCCGGATATCCAGCACGCTTGCTACGCAGTCCACTCATGCTCTACGCAGTTGTATGGTTTGGCGCGGTTCGGCGCTCACAGTGACGGCACTGCTTTTGGGCTCGACGCTGTTCGTGATTCGGAATTTCTCGATCGATCCTCCGCAAGTTGGAGGATTTGTTGGAATTCTGCAATTGTCGAGCTTTCGGGTGGTGCTAATTCGCACAGTTCAGTTAGTTGCAAGAAGATTGGGCTCGCTGCCAGTCCCCTTTTCTTCCTGTGTCAGTTCTTGGTCGACCTTGAGAGTCGCGAGGGAGAAAGAGAGCGAGGAAAACGCCGTGGATTCGACTTCGAGTGAGGAGCTTTGGCCAGCGCATATAGATTCCGTTGGCCTCACATTTGGCGGGCGGGCAGGCGGGCGTTATGGTGTACATGAGACTCCGATTGTGGGTCGATCGGCGTGCCCAGTGATTGTTGTGGTGGTTTGTGGGGAGGTTCATTTAGCTTGTTTGGCTGTTGCAGCGAATTAGATTGTACATAGGACAATTGGGCCTTAAGAGCTGGGACGAGTGGCTCTGAGGGGAGTATTCTTCTGTTGATGGTTACAGGAGTAGAAGAATTCTTCTAGGATTTTTCCGCTTAGTGTAGCAATTTGAGCACGGTGGGAGTACGGCCCGGTATCAGCGGAGGGCTGCGTCATGGAAAAGGTTATGGCTTTGATCAAGCCAAAGCCGAATCCCCAAGAACAGTTGAGGGATTGGCAGAGGAAATTACGACAGGAGTCTCGTAACATAGATCGGCAAATTCGGGGTGAGTATCGCTTTCAATGTTCTGCTGGAAAATTCAGCTGCCTTTTCGTTTTCTGCAGCCTGGGAATGCACATTTTGTAGGTTTAGGGTTTGGTCCAATACTTAGTGAAGCATTCGCCTTACACTTGTTGTGATGAACTTATGAAAATTGTCAAATTATGAATCAATTTATTCTGTGAAAATTCTGGCTTCGAGGAGGCATTTTCGAACGAACCATTTTTAATCAAATTGCTGTATACTCTCTCACATATGTTTTGAACCTCAAGAATTCAGATCTCGCTGAAATTTCGGACTGGATACATGTAATTCAGTCTCGTCAGACATGTACCGTCTTGAGGCCATAGAGAAAATTGTGGATTTGGAAAGTATTGAGACTTTGCAATTTTTAAACCTGCACTAAATTCTTGGCAGAGGGACAGAGTTGCATGGAAGTTGTGAAAGGATGCATCAAGTTAAACGGAAACATACACTTCTTGGTAAAATTGGGTTCATCTCTTTTGTGCGATTGGGTCCATCAGACACCAGGCCGATATATTCAGCTCAATTCATGCAAACTTTTGGACTTAATACTTGCCGATCTTTGGACCAGATATCCAACGAGAGGAAAAGAATGTCAAGAAGTCAATCAAGGATGCAGCCAAACGAAATGATATGACATCTGCGAAGGTGAGATTCTCTTCCAGGTGAATTTGTGGTGCATACTTCAGAAACGGAAACGAGGTGAATATGGGTTTTCGTCTGAGTTTTTGAAGATTCATTTAAGTGCTTGCCATCTTCATTCCGGAGATATCAGCATATTTTGGACGAGAAAGTTGAGATGCAGTTGTGAGAAATCAGTTCAAATCTACTTATTCATTACTTCTAGTTCACAGAGGCTGAGATTCTAGACTTCAATGAAAGACCGAAGGCTAGGATGGTGCTTATAAACATATGTATATCGTCGAGTTCAGATCACCTCCTAACAACAGATGCTTCAGTATCTCTCGACTCTGCTCTTTGAAGTTTCCTCCAGCTCCCAAGCCACCACTTGGGATGTTAATTTTTTGGAGAGTTCCAATCTGCTGCAGGATATATATTGGAAGTACGGAAAGCGCATAGAATTCGAGAACTGTTTTACTTCTTTGTTAGAGGAACGGGATGGAAAGTGAACAATGGATTCAGTTTGAAGCACATAACTCAGCTTGAGCCCTTTGCTTGAATGAGCCAGATATTTTCAAACCGCGCGTTTTAGATTAGATATTCGTAGTGTATTTAGACGCGGAGCATACGATGCTATCTACGTTAGGCTTCATTGAGCCAGTAGTAGTATGACTGACTAATTTTTCTGTTGCAGTCTCTTGCGAGAGAGCTGGTCAGCGCAAGGCGGGTCGTAAACCGACTATATGAGAATAGGGCTCAGCTGAACTCGGTTTCGATGCATTTGGGTGAAAGTGTTGGTAAGATCCTGAATATCTGCTTTGATGCATGTACCGGTGGCGAAACCATTTCTTACCGTGATTGCCAGTTTCAGAAGCTTCAAGTACACGGGTAGCTTTCTGTACATAATTGTTCGATTTGGACTTGTATCTGCAGCCACAGTGAAGGCCGTTGGCCACATACAGAAGAGCACTGAGGTCATGAAACTGGTGAATGGTCTATTAAAAGCACCAGAAGTGGCAGCAACTATGCAGGAACTTTCCAAGGAGATGATGAAGGTGGGGTTCCATTAGGCAAAGTGACGAACTATCACTTCAGCTATATCTGTTTCTCATCAGGCTGATTTCATACTGGAAGTCAGAGGTTCCACTTGGCTTAAAAAGTCGGAGTCGCATGTATTAAACTGTTTGCAGAGATCTGATATTCTTCTTATTTGCCTCGCAGTCTGGAGTTGTCGAGGAAATGGTGAGCGATACTCTGGATTCAGCTCTCGATAATGAGGACATCGAAGAAGAAATAGAAGATGAGGTTGAGAAGGTTTTGTTAGAAATTGCAGGCGAAACGATAGCTCAGCTGCCGGCAACTGCTGTACCAAAGAAAGAGAAGTTGAAACAACCTGTTGTCGAAGAACCTGAAGAGGTTTGTTAAGCCTCATCCCAATGCTTGCAGCTGCGATGAATAGTTTTTGCTACCAAAATGTATGATAGTTTTTAGAAGCCTCAAGAAGATTACACTCTTCAGTAATGGCGTTCTTATTTTGCAGAAGGAAATGCTGGCAGAAGGAGACGAAGATGCCGAGATGGAAGCATTAAGAGCACGTTTAGCTAATGTTCGATCGTAAAACTGGGTTGGCTTGTCAATTAGTCTTAATTTAGTATGATCTTTTGTGGCAAACGACCTCACCTTCTCAGAGTGAGGTCGGCTGGCTAAGGTCAGAGCGTTTGTGGATGCCTCTCATCGCCTTGAAGCTATCAAACGATCCCGCGGCAACAGGAGACAAGACCTTACGATGAGTTGCAACACAGCAGTCAGCACCAGCAACTGAAAGGTATCCCAAGTGCATGAAAGATCTTCCAAAGCAGCAAAGATGTATCATAAGGACACGTTTCTCAGCTGCGCTGCAAACATAGGTTCGTATCAGTTGATTGTTCTCGTCTCCGATTTTTTCTACCGGCCTGCAGAGTATTTGTCATCAGATTTCTCGCGTGCTTACAATGACTTACGTGATCCAGACTCCTGGTCTGTTATTCTACCTGAATATTGCTGCTTGTTTACAAGATTCGATGGATATCTTCTCTCCAGTTTCTGGTGATGCCACTCACCAAAGTACGGTTTTCCTATGTAACATTAGCTGCTGTGCAACCAGGTCTATGGAACTGCTCACATAAGCTTTATCTCAGTGAGGAAAGTTGTAACGCTTCTTGGGATATAGACCCTTCGGGTATTTGTAGCGCTTTCACGTTTAAAAATTTTCTCTAGATCGTTTTAAGTCTAGTTTGGTGATCCTTCAACGTTTAGCGTGGGGCATACTCTTGGTTGATAATTTTGAAGTAGGATGATGGGAGCATCCGACATAATTGCAGCTGGCACTCCTTTCCATGGTATAGGCCCATTCAGCAATCTCCTTTCCATGACTTTGCTCAAGTTGCTACATTATCATTCTTGATTGGTTGAATTAGTTGTCTTTCGGAATAGTAGTTACTTGCCTGCATGATTTCAAACTGGACTGAGAACTGCTTGCAGCAAAATCTGTATGTATGGCTTGTTTAGCAGTATATTGCCCTATACTAATCATCCCACTCAAGTACGAAATTGGGATGAGAGTCGTAGTACAGCTGATCTCTTTCTTTTTAGAGCTTCTCATTCATCACCTGCCGATAAGTGCTTCAATTTGGACTATACAAGAGTTTCCACTTTCACGCAGTTGACGGCTGGAGATGGCCATGTACTAAAGCATTTGTCAATACATTCATTGGGTCAAGCCTGTCCAGGACCATGAATGAGGACATTGGTGTAAGACCAGTTTTCACTGTGATACTTCTGAGCACTTTTTCATCGTGATTTTTTGTAATCGTAGGCATTAAAATCTCATTTATAGGTTAAACGCCTTTTTGCTAAATGGCTGACATATTTCCTTGCCAAAGGGTTGACCGAGGCAACTTATATCGGGTTGTGCGCGAAACTTAGAAGTTGATGCGAGGATGAAGGAGCGGAGCGAAGTAAGTTGGAAGGGCCACGAAGAAGATCAGAAAAGGCGGCCTGTATGAATCGAGTCGACATAATAACTGCAATTGAATTTTTAGTCGGCAAGTCTCGTCCACACGAGAGTAAGTTTCGATAGTTGGAGCTTGCAGAGCACGTGCACTACTTGAGAATTGGATAGGCAGCTATTTGTTGCCAGGGCAAAGATTCCTGAAGCCCAGGAAACAAAGTTATTCCTCGATCCTCGGTGGGGCCACCAACACGACCCGAAGTGTATGGAAGCGTGTAACTATTCGGGCCCGTGGCTGCATAAGCTACTTCTTTGAGAACTTAAGGTCGAGGTTGTGTAAGCTGCTCTAGTTGCAACTCATAGAGTTCTGTAACGGACAGATGCAAAACATTCTGAACACTGTCCGAATAACAATTCTTAAACGCCGACAAACCGAGAAGGTCAAGCTTCTGCAAGGTTCACGAGTTCAATTGGCACAGTTAAGACACTGCAATCATCACGCGTGATTTCAGTGGTTACTACAACACGGAAGTGTGTCTCGCATTTGGGTGAAATTATCCGATCCTAGTTCAGCTGCGGGTGTAACCTTCGGGCTACTGCTTCTGGACTGGATTCGGCAGAACTCCAGAGAAGAGGAATAATCTAGAGGTGCGGAAACTCACTGACACCTCGGAACGAGTGCAGCAGTACATGGGAAGTCAAAAATCTTCAAAGCAGGCTACCTGTGCTCAACAGAAGAGCCATGTGCACCGCACGCAGATCTGACCCTCCATGAATGTCAATACAGTCCCGGCTCTGATCAATACCTGATTGATTGTTCAGCTGTCCCTATGCAGCAGGATTAGTTGTAGAAACGTCTGCATCGACGTACATGGCTTGTGTCAGAAGTCGATTGCAAACGTCACACCGTTATCCGACCTTGGCTCGGCAGTGGACCGTGGGGAAGAAAGATTTTTTCTGTTGACAAGTTGGGACTCTGGATTGAATTGTCTCCTCCAGGCCAGGAGCTCGAGACTCTATTTAGGCTACGCAGTGTCAGAGTTTTGAAGGGATGGGAATCTTTCAGAGCGGTGCACTTATTGTGTTAGCACACGGAGCAGTGGGAAAAAAGGACGTACGAAAAAGTCAAAGGTTGATGGTATTTGCCTTTTGGTTGAGACAGCATCGAGAGCCATGTGCGGCACACGCTTTCGCTCCTGCCTCTGCGTCGACGTCTACTTTTTACGAGCCCCGGGGCATAGTTCCCTCCATATCTGATTATCAACCGACGACGAGATGACTGCTCAACGTGCCTGACTCAGCCTCTGCTGCAGCCGAGCCGAGCATACCGCTGAGGCCACTGCAGGCAACGCGTTTTACAACGTAATGGCTGTGGACTCCGTTCGAGGTCTCGTGCTCTGTGTGTCGCTTTACGACATTTCCCTGGGCAGCTTCTTGATCATTGTTATCCCCACATACCCACTCATATCTTCGGCGATTCCCAGATCAATAGATCTAGAAGCTACGCCAGGCTACCCAGAAATCATGCCTCTGGTCGTTCGTTACGCACTTGTGTGCGTCCGCTGCACGGTTTTGTTGGGAGACTGTTTCTCAAGTGGGCTATTCCTAACAACGGAATCACGAGCTCCCATTTTGAAACTCTGAATACTGCGATCATCATACAGCGCTAGAGAGAGGCTGTGGGAAGATTAAGTAGTTTGCACGGTTTCTAAGATTAAGATCATATTTCCTGTACCGGAGTGGTTGCAGAACGCCCTGAAGAGTAGAGCTTTCATAATCCGCGCGCAGAGAGAGAGAGAGAGAGAGAGAGAGAGAGTATGGCCGATTGAACTAAACTAGAGCAGTCAAGCACAAACACCCTGATTCGCGGAGGCTCAATCAGTCACAGTGGATGGGGATATCGTACATACAAGGGCGGGCGGGCTGGCTAGTTGGCCTCAGCTCTGCGACCAACGCTGATCCGATTCTCGATGGGAGATCCACCGAACAGTGGAGATTTCTTCAATGGTATTGACCGACTAAAAAACTCGGCAGGGCATGGGACAATAAAGAGAGGAGAACTTGAAGGTGAAGGTGGATGACCAAAAGAACCACAGTGCGCAACCGAATGCCAGTCCAGTCCAGTCCAGTCCGTGCTGGGTTTGAACAGTCCAGCAACAAACTAACTTCGCAAGCCAAGCTTCGTCACGGCTTAGCTTGCAGCAAGTGGCGAACCATCTGAACTCATGACCGAACGTTGACGAGACCGAAAAACAACCTCGGGTGGTGATGATGATGTAGTGCCGGGAACATAACATCCAATCAGCAGGCGATTTTCGTCGTCTACGAGGCCAGTGTACATGGCCCTCAGACTTCTGGCCTGTTTGTTCGTTGCCGCGAGGAGAATATGTTGGGAACTTGAGCGAGCTTCAGTGCTGCAGGTTGCAATAACTGAGTTCCAACTTCCAGGTCTCAGACACACGCGATTGCAATAATGAGGGAGGTAAAGCGATCCTTCACAGGTTCGAGCAAGAAGCTTCGGATGCGCGAAGCTCGTCCAGTTGATCGTCGTCGATTGATGATTCGATTCCTCGTACCGGTCCGCTTGAGCTCAGAGATCTATCGAGTTTCCATGTGCTGACCAGACTTGTATCATCAACGCTGCATGGGGAAAGCGTGTACCACTCCATGAGGAGCATTTCATTGTAGCCGGGTTGTAATATCCTCCTAACATTCATTGCCTGCAATCGAGCCTTCCTTCCATTTAGCTCTACGCTCACTTTTCATGGACCAACAGAGACGTGCACTGCAGCTTTCAACACGTGACTGCAAGTTTCAGCTTCCTGGCTTCGAGTAAAGAGCTTGAGATCCGCTCGCTTGTGAATCCGGGACTGGTCAGACTGTTAGGGCCCGCGTCAACAATATTCGCATATCTCACCCTCATGCGTTTGACACCTCCTCGAAGGCGTGATTCACTTGTCAGAAGCTGATCACTGAACACTGAATGGGTGAACCCAAAGGTGGAACAAATGTCGAAGGGCATTGGCTGAAGCCCTTCGACATTTGTTTTGGCTTCTTTTGATTTTGAGAAAACGGCGCAAGAAAAGAACTTCTCTCCTCTCCGTTTTGTGAAAGTAAACATTTCATTTTTACATCATGGATAATTTTACCATAAAAGTTTATCCATAGAAATTATAACTCTGAACTCTTGAAAGCTTTCATATGTCACATGAGATTTGAAAGGTTTTACACAACCTTGGGGGAGTTGAATGACTCTCTCATTTATGCGGTAGGGGCGGGACCGTTGTTAGAGGACACTGAGGAGCCGGAGTACGTGCAGACCTTGGTTCGTGAGTTTCTGTTATGCCGGTGCATCCTACATTTCATTTATTGGTAAATACGTTTCGGCATGCTTCAAAACTTAAATGGTCTTCGTTATCGCGCACACAGAAATTAAAATGGTCGCAAATCACACAAAACGCCAGTAGAGGGAATTGAAACCCCTACCTTGCAATCAGTAGATGCACGCTCGAATTCGAGATCCTTGTCCACTAGCTTTAGGAATGGCCACCATTTCGTGGATATCAGAGTCTAGAATGGGCGCAAAAATCATCTCTGACTCCAAGACAGGTAGTGAAGGAACCTCGCTTGCCTTGCTGGATTCGGTAGGTTGGGTCCCTCCAATTCTATAACACATCGGATCTAGAGAAAAAAGATTTAAGTTTGCCCCTTTTGAGATCCAAAAACCTTTACATTAATATTTTACCATGCATATAAAATTAAATTATAAACAGGGAAATGCAATTATTATTTTTTCCACAAAAGTTCATCAAAATTGGATTATTCAGTCTATTTCAAAATAAAATATATATTAGACATCATTGCATACAGAAAAGTTTCATTTCTCAACAATGTCCATTTAAATTATTTCAATGTAGTTGCATATGATGAGACCTGTTGCAAAGATATGTCTCTTGCACTATCATGACATTAAAACCTTTATACACATATGCACTTTATGTCACATGTATGTGACAGTATTTCAATTTTATCAAGCAGGTTAAACGAACAGATATCAAAGTTAAAACAGTAAGATACAAGAAAATAGAAGAATTTCATTTTGATTTCCGAAGAGTCCAAGAGTGGGATGATCTGAAACCTTTGAATTTTAAATGTGTATACAAGATAATATTATTCACAGATAAAATTTAGCCATTAATTTCCTCTCAAGGGGAGAGAATAAACTAAATGTTAATAATGAAATATAATTTTAAACTTAAGTCATGAAATAATGTTTATAGGAAGCTAGAGAGTTTCAATGAAATGAAGAAGCACATGTAAGATGCCTAAAAATTTTGCCTACCAAAATTTGGAAACCTTTGAAAACATATCACAATTATTCTTTTGAAATAATTTGAAAATTCACTGTATAAACTTTACACTATGAACGTGTAATAACAGATAAATATCAAAATGGAACATAATGTTAAAGATCCGATACCACGAGGATAAAAACAACACCAGAGATTCAATTACTGGCTTAAATTAACATTATATTAAAGAATTTTACTTCTCATGCACATGTCACTACCAGAAGCATCTGCAATTGCTAAGGCCAAAGGCGATTCATTGCACGGTGAAATCACAACCAAATCCTGAAATTCATCTAATAGATCCCCACAGAAATTACAAGCGACTTTGCAATTGACATTCGGGAACTTTCCAAAATTGTAGATTTAGCCGACTGCACCGAGCTTCCAATGTACAAATTTTCTGAGCTACACTATGCACCACTCAAAACATCCGAATTAGACTCTATATTTCAGACGTAGTATCTTTGACAAACTGAAGCAACTCGCGCACAATGACAAAACGCACAACTCACGAACGCGCAGAGGAATGCAATCTTATATCTAAAGATTGACTCATAGAAAAGCCCCCCCAAGGCAGAACCTTGGGCCTCTTTATTCACAACGAACACCCGGAGTCATCATCCGCTAGTTGCGAGCTCTCATCATGTGCGAATCCGCAAATGCGGCAGTTGCCACGCTCGCAGAGTTATTGTCTACTCATATCCTACTTAAAACTGTTGAAAGCTCTAACTCTAGATTTTCCTTCATCTCCTCTAGACCAGAGATGAACAAACTGATCATTCTACCTAACTGCCAATGTCCTGCAGCTCCATTGGCTCCCAATCCCTTCACTTGATACTCTAGCTCTTCCAATTTCATCCACTTTGTGATCTGGATCTACCATTCCATATAACTGCGAATACATCGCTCTATCCTTGCACGCAACGTAACATCCGTCAACTGTTCCAACTGCTGGACTGTCGCCTCCGTCTCCATCAATTTTGCTCGAGCTACAACCAACTGCTACTCAACTGCTGATAGTTGAGAACGCAATTTGCTGCAATTTGCGTCTAATTACTTCCCACGCTCTAACTCCAAAGTTTGGGCCACTTCGCAATTAGCCAATTCCTTCGCCTTAAGAGCTAATTTGGCAGCATGCGATTGATCACGTGCCGCATATTCACCGTTAGCTACTCCGTGTGCTTGAATTCTCTCTCAAATCTTTTCCGAGACAATTTCAATTTTTTACAAATTTCCACCGTTAACTTCTGCGCATTAGTGATGTCGACCCGAAGGGCCTTGCACTCAAGCTCCTTCTTCGTATGAAGGTACTCCTCTGCCGCTAGCTTACGCCGAAGTTCCGCACACTCCAACTCCTTCATTTGAAGTTGCTCATCCCGCTTCAGCAAGGTAGCCGTCACGGTCGCACACTTAGAAGTTAAGCTCGCCACTGTTTCTGCTACCTTCGCAGCTGCTGCCACCTTCGCCTTTGTCCTACTACGCATTAACTCTACATAGGATCCTGCTAATTTTGGCTCCGCGTACTTCGCCATCTTCCCATCTAAATATCTGAGTAAGGGAACTATCCTTTCACTCAAAATATGAGCTATACTAAGCTCTGTCGTCTTTGGTTCCTCAACCGAAGGCCCATAGCCGCAATCAAAACTAACTGTACCTGAAGACATTTGACATGAAGGTATTGTCAGTTGCTCCTTAGCAGTCCTCTCCACTTCCGCACCACTCTGTCTAGAAGTTCTTCGACAGAATTTGGCTCTACCGCCGGCTCTTCCAACTCTGCATGCACATTTGAAGTTTACTTGCCCGAAGGCTGAAGATCTTCGGCCGAAGGCGCTGGTGGTTGTTTCGAAGGACGAAGACATTGACCCGAAGGTTCTGTCTCGGTCTCATCTTCTCGTTCTTCTCCTTCCTCCAACAGACCATTCATGGGCACGTCCAAAGGACCCCACTCCAAAGACCATTCGTTTTTTGTTCCCGCATCCCGCACTTCCATTTAAGCCCATTCCGCCGAAGTCACTTGATGTTGCGAAGTTGCTGCGCTACACTCTGTACTATCCTCTTCCTTTCTCCGTTGGCGTCGTGCCTTCATCTTACTACGAGAATGCATATTCGCTGTTCTCATCCGCGTAGGAAGTGGTCATCTGGCCAGCATTCCTGCACATCGACCCACCACATCTGAAGCCAACGAACTCAGCAATTTCCGTCGCTTGTTTGCTTGTTCCGCAATGTAGTCTTCCGACTTGTAAACTTCGGCCAAAGGTGGTGCATGTTCATTGTTGTCCTCCTGGCTGGCAACTTCACTACCTCCTAGCACTCATTCGTCGTTTAACCTTGCAATCTAACTCTCGAGGGGAAATTTCCGCTGCTTTGCTTTAGTCAGCAATCCCATACCTCGATAAAAATTGATGGAGAACGGTGACAAGTAGTTCAATAATCCTTGGAACATGTTTTTGACTTTTTTGTGATTAGTACTCCAAAAAAAGCGAGCCCAATGAATTGACTTCCCCGTCACCGCGCGTTCCATGAATCAGATTTGTCCTGTTGTCATGTACGTCGTTTTGACGGTTGCAGAATCTGCATGAGTGCCACCGCCACATTGCGTCTCAACCGATCGCAATACTTCGTCATCTGCCATCAGTTCTTGGACAAGCGAGGTGTCTTGAATAACTTCGCGAATGTATTCTTTTCGGCCTGCGTCACCTTCACACTCTAGCTGTCGTAGATGTAATCACCTTCCTCACCTGCACACGGCTCCAAGACTTGAGCCCAGTGCTCAATTGTCCAACTCTCAGGGTTGGCGCGAAGCCCATCGGCGTACGACGCGCGTTCCTCCTACTACTCCTTCATATTTACTACGGAAATTCAATTCCAACCCCATAGCAAGAAATTGAGCTTGACAGCTATCAATTCTTGGCGATACGTTCTCAATCCAAATTCCGTTACATTCAATGCCGACAATTGAAGTCCCGAAGCTCGCTTCATTGCTACGCTCTCAATTTCTCACTCGCAATCCTCACTAAGCTCCCAATTCTCAAATGCACTCTCGCAAAATGTCGGCGTAGAGCTCCCATTTCTACTAATGTATTTTGACGCCCTAACCACATTGTGAACTTGTGCGAATTGGTGGTACGAGTGTTGAAATTTCCCTTCAGGTAGGCGCCGTCTTTCACTATGCCGAAGGCCCTTTGCCAAAGGCCCTTCTGCTGTAACGCTGAAGGTGTTATCGCCGAAGTTCGAAGGCGAAGGCTGAAGGCCCTTCTTCAGTTTTGACTTCCCATGTACTCCACTTCCTTCACTCGTAACTTAGTATTCACGTATCTGTTTTTGATGTTCTTGGGCTCGTTCAAACGAGCACGCCAAGCTCTATCTATTGAGATCCTGCCTAAGGCAAATTCCCATTAATTGAGAAAGTTATGAATTATATACTCTAGTGTATCATAACTCATCTTATTCAACTTTATTGCCTACAAGTAAAAACACTAACTTCTACAGAGAGTTAGCTAATTTGGATTCTACTAAACCTACCTTCGCATCTACTACCAAATTCACTTTTTAATGTACTTCGTAGTATTCTTGTACTAAAAGTTTGAAATTACTAATACTCTTTTACTCAATCTTACTCTTTTTGAAAAAAAAAAAACCTATGTTGACACAAAATGACACTTATACATGTGGTTTGAACCTATTCTTATACCATCCTGCCTTACTGCCTAGTTTTCATTTATAATTTAAACACAAATATTGGGTATGTTTTAACAGATCTATTGATAAAAGTTTTCATATTGAAGACGTTCTCCAAGGGTTTACTCAGCAAATAATCTACACCATATAAACTATTTTCTGTCGATTTAATCTTATCAATTTGACGCTTAAAATCGTACTGAGTTAAATCTACTTATACAACTCGATATTCCCGAAAGGAAACTCTATTAATATAACACACAAAGCTATATTGTGTGTGATAGCTTTGAACGATACATTCAATTTTGAACCAGAATAATTTCAAGAAAATGTTTGATATTAATCATGTTTGATTGCTTCCATCAAAGTATAGAAGATTGAAATCGATGATTCTACCCACTAACTTAATATCGAAAATTTCAGTTGAAGTAACTAGTAGTTATTAATATGAATAGTTTATAAGGGATTCATCATGGATTATATATATGGTGATATTCAAAATTTTTAATTGTAATCAATCACTGTATTCACCAAATATTTTCTTCCGAACTCACAGTTTAGTATGAAGTGTACTGATTTTATATTCCATCAGAAACTTCAGGAGTTTACATCAACAACTTGACTAAAAGATACACTGTTTATCGATAATCAACTTTGACTGGATGCAGAAACATGCATATTTCGAAATATATATATATATATATATATATGAAACTCAAGCAAAATTTTATGTCATAAAAGATTTACCACAATGGAATCATCAAAAACTATCCAATATATATCAACAAAGAGAAAAAACCCTCATGTTATCAACATTTTGCTTATGCAACATTCACTAGGCAATAGCACGGAAGATCCTCCCCAAAAACTAGGAATAGTTTTTTCTCCAAATTTTTAGTTATTTTCCATTTCTTGTAAAATTTAGTTAAGTTGGATAATTTTTATGAGTTAGACTTTCTTCAAAAGTTTTAGGTGTAGTTGATGAACACATTCTTTACAAGGTTTCATATAAAAGAATGAAAAATTACCCAAATATGTTTAAAAATATTCTACCCGCAAATGATCTGACAAATGTTTATTGATAATCTATGATGTGTGATCATGGTAAATCTGAATATGTTTGAGTGGATTATTCATCACAGAAAATAATAAATTTTCCTTTTATACATGTTTTATGTATCAAAATCAATCAGATTAGACTAGAAACGCCATGTCATAATCAGGTTTCAAGGGTTTCCGATTGTTGTGGTTCATACTGATTCTTGAAGTATGTAGTTTAAGTGTGTACGAAGTGACAGAAACTTTGTCAAACACAAGATTAACAACCAAGGCTAAAAGTCAAACTACAATTCCAAAAGATGACAATTACGGAGGTTTAGTCATTTTTGTGATGAACATTTATCTATCACAAAGAAAGTGCTTGCTTAATGTAAAATTGTCAACAGTTCCATGGGCGTTCGTAGTGCCAAGCTCATACAATGGATCGGGATATATGTAAATTTGCATCAGATATGGTGGGTAAAAGTAGATGAAACACATCGTTGACATCTTCTGAAGGTCTAAAGCCCAAGGTAAGAGCTTACTAAAAAAATGATAAAAAATTAACGATGGTCTTTGGCAACCAGCCATATTAAAGGACATCGCCTCCAAAGCATTCTCATCTTAAGAATGATCCTGATACATTATATTATTCCACGGAGAGGGAGCTGAGTTGCATGAATTTGTCTATGATAGATATGCAAGTGATACCAGTTGTGTACAAGGACATGTTCTCAAAATCTGTCTCTAGGCAGAGACTTACAGTTGGTTTCCTCGAGGATTGAAGAACAAGCTCGAAGAGTGCACTTTGAAGAAAATCATCGGACTCCATATAAGGGATGTACTCAGTCGGGTGTGAAAGCTTGGTGTGGGTATTAGATGTCCCTACTTCGATCAAAGAACATGCCGAATCGTAAAGGTTTTTCTTCATGGCCTGCAAAGTCAGAAACGAAAACTTCGGTGTTGACTATTTTCTTCAAAGAAATTTAAAACATAAACGAGACTGCAAGAAATTAATTTTCTCATGAAAAGATTGATGGCTTGGAAAACTCACTTGCAAAAGGTTGCGAATCTTTATCACAAGTTCGTCTGGAAGGTATTTCAAAAGGAGGAGCTCATGGAAGATACATATAACAACTGGACTGACTTTGTCTTCTGAAAGATTGACTGTTATCTCGCTTAGGATCCTCCTTGAAAAAACTGTTTGCACCCATTCGGGTGTTGGAGTAACCCTCAGAACTCCCAAAACCACATGAGCTGCATAACAACGAGATCTTCCACATGTACATGTTCGTCCATCCTTCCTTGCCGCAGAAAGAGAGTCAACGAAATGTTCAACCAGTATCCGATTCCATGGATTGTCTGCCGCCTTTCTTCTCAGTTGAGGATTGAGTGCAGGGCTCTGTAAAATTAGAAATAAGCTGGTGCTCGCATTTCTGCTAACGAGTTCCAAGTCTTCTAATATGGAACCTTGCAGGGTCATCGTGATGGACATGAGAAATGCATTCGGTAGATCAATTTTCTTGATTGCATCTGAAGATTCTGTATCACATTCGATGTGCAATTGAGAAAAGATTTCGGCAATGCAGGCTGAACTAAGGACTTTCAAGGTTGCAGGACCGTTGTACACAATCTGGCACAGTTCCTTGCACGTGACAGAGGTTCCATAATATCTGTTGCAGTCTTCAGTCGTTGACCATTGACAAGCTTCGAAACCAATGTAGGGAGTTTCATGAGCAGTCAGAGCACTTTTTCTTTCAGAGTGGAATTTGAGCGACCTGCCAATTTCACAACAAAAGTTACGAACAAGTTCAACAACCTTTTAGCACAATTAAAAGGACAATAATGGGCAATGGACAGGTATACGTACGCACCATCTCAACCACAACAGATGAAAGACCAGTACGCCACATAACAATTTTGCTTCCGCCGAAATAAGGTCAATTTGTGAAATGTTCACACACTCAGATGATGCCTTTAGGATATGATCTTCCAGCCTTGTGCGAAGAGTTCTGTTACAAGCTAAAGCTTCCGCTGCTCCCACAAGACAATTTTCTTCATTTGATTTGAACAGTATAAGGTTGATCAGACTGAGAAAAGGAAGCAGTTTGTCGTCGAAGGTAACGTTTTTATGAACTAAAATTAAGTTGGCACACTGAAAAGACAATTCCACGTAGATGAGTACGACCCCATAGAATCTGAGAATTTTTCAATATCAAGTGTACCAGGACTCGTGTCATTTCAGCCAAAGATTTGAAACGAAGAAAAAGGACAAAAGTTTAGATCGTCTCACCTGGTTAGCCACATCAAGCCAAGATCTCTCAACCAAGACCTCCACTTCGTTATTAAACTCGTACAACATTTGAAACAGGAGAACCACACAAAACTTTCGAGTATCGTTAGAAGTATTCACATTTTGGGGGTGAATCACTGGGAGCAAGCTGAGTTCAAAATTGTAACATAGTAGCTGATATCCGACACCCGAAGCCATACGGGCTATATTTGTCAGTGCCCGAACCACGACTTTGATTCCATCATCATCACCCTGATCGACAACTCTGTGGAACAATGAAACAAGCAAGATTGTACCACAGGCTTCTTCGGCAATAAGCTCGGAAAGAGCCCTTAGATGCTCGGAGTCCCTTTTTCCTCCCAGGAAATCTGATGATGATGAGGTAACTTCTTTGTCCTCTTGTAAGAACATATCTTCAGCCAAGGTGAACCATGCAAAAATCTGCCTCATAGTAAATTCCCTCAACGAATCTCTTTGTAAGAACCATCTAAGAATAGTCTTCGGGGTCTCTGCAGAAAGCAGACTAATGCCATCTGAGTTATTTAAGATGGCATCGAAAATCATCTCTGCTTCATAGCTGCAAGATATATTCCTAATTTCAAGAGGTATTTTGTTACCGACGTAAAGTTCAATAAACATTATCAGAGTTTGCTTTGAAGCTGAAGAATCCACTAGTGTTGAGCCTTTATTTACAAGAAGATGCTGCTCCAAAGATGGAATAATCTCAGCCTCCGAAGCCAGTCTGCATGACATCCGTCCGATTAGAATTCTTAGAATTCCAACTAAAACATTTCGATACATGGCATCAGATCGAGTATATCTCATCTCATCAGTATGGCATCCTCATGTGAGGTCTATTGACATGCAATAACAGACGACGAGACATCAAGTTATGATTGATATTTCACAACGAACTTATGCCTCCACGTATCGAATTATACCTATCATTACAAGCAGAGCTCGTATAAAGAATCCAGATTATTGCATGCTGGGCTGAAATCAGTTGCTCTTGTCCCTTGATCCTTTGCTCTAGTACTGCCAGGAGACTGGTGAGATCAGAAGGCAGACTCTGAAAAGCATTAACGATATGATCTTCAAACCGGTCTCCTTCAAGTCTTGAGATCAAAGAACCCAAAAAACGGTAAAGATTGTCTTTCAGTACAGGATCTGGAAAGCGAGCCAACAATTCGTAAGCTAGTGTAAAGACCTTATTAAGGGCTAGTTTTTGGGGAAATGTATCAGCCTTGTGGTCTGCTATGTCCGTTCTCAAGATAAGAGTGAAGGTGTTGAAAACTATTAATATAAGATCTACATCTTCCACCATATCCAGATTTTCCTTCAAGGCAGGAAGCACGTATCTCTCACATACTTCTACAAGGTTTCCTTGGATTAGGCTAACTGACTTGTTTTGAAGTATCTGTCTCTGGTTATAGCCTAACACAGCGTGGACAAGGAATACAGCAGCCTTTAAACTAGATAAATCTGTACTCGTTTTAACGTCCACTGCCGCTAGTATTGCGGCATATGAAGCAGCAGTTTGAAGCATGTGGGAAGTCTTCGGCTGAAGGGAAATACGTGGGTCTTCAATAAGAAGAGCAAGGGCTGAACATAGACCAGTAAATGTTGGTGGAAGTCGGACATCGTCACCATCCTCGACACTCTGATCCATAATAATTTTGCATTCTTCAACTAATTTCGAGAGGATAGAGAGGAGTTGCTCAGCGGGAGCCGTCTGTAGCATGCCTGGGCTCTGAGCTAGACCTTCAGATAGCAGATCAAGTATTTTACTTTGCAACCGATAATACGGTGAATCTGTGGTTTTTTCAAGAACATGAATCAATGTCTGTATCAGTAATGGGAACCGACGCATGAATGAAAGCTTCGCGTATGACAGCAAAATGAGTACATCCAAGGCCAACGACTGGAGAGCCTCCCGATCACCTGCAAAAAAGCAACATTCGGAGGATAAAACCGTTAAGACTGATATTGAAAAGGAAGAGTATAAGTTGGATTTATAAAGCGTTTATTGCGTGTTAGCATCCCTGACAACCCGAAATTCCGTTCCAACAATGTAATAGTAAGTATCTTACCTGAGAGCCTTAAGACTTCAACCACGTAGTCCAGAATACCTCCCTCAACAAGATCTTGAAGCTCATCTTGGAAGCAAATTCTATCTGAATACAATACGCTGATCAAATGGAGAGCAGATGCCTGAACTTGGTTGTCGGAAGATAGAAGACAAACTTTCATTGCCTCAATGAATGTATTTGCCAGGGACAGTGTTTGATTGCATGTACTTCCGCTATTCAGTGGAAGTCGACACCCTTCATCCTCCGATTCCGAAGATAATTTTATCTTAAACACTGAGCGTTCAGCCAGAGTGTTGAGAAGAGCTATGTACATATCCAGATCATGTGGTCAGCTACCGCCATGTGCATGTCTTTGAGAATCAGAAATGTTCGGGGGGCTGGGCATTGAAACTGACTATCTGATATCTCTTTCCTTGAGCAAATAAAGGACCTTTACCTAAAGAGTTGATCCTTAATTCGTCACTGTCGGTCTTCAGTAAGGCGTATATTGTTTCTTCACAAACTTTTGGGCAATGGCGAAGAAGCTGTTCTGTACCATTTTGAAACGATGCTACTTTGTATAAAACGTACAGCACCTCGCCTTGAAACTCGGCTCTAGAACACAGGGTACACTGAACTTAGTGAACAACTAGGAGACGTATGATCTAATTTCAAAATCAAAATGCACTATCAGTTTCCGGATAAAATGCACGTTTCAGTATGATAGTTTCCATACTCAAAACATTATAATTCCCTTGGAAATTTAGATGACATATAGGTTATTAAGATTGAGATGACACGGATTTCATAGAACAATATTGTTCGGTGTGAAGTATTGGAAAACAGTTTACCCCGAGATTTGAAGGCCAGAAATCAGGTTAGCAAAAAAACTTCTCTCGTTCTTAATTTCTGGAATATCGTCGTTTTCTTGGCAATAGGTCTCCAACAATAGTCCCAATAAATGCAGCTACGACATCAGATGAAGTAAGTACTGATATTTTAGGCATTGTTCATGAAAGTTTGAATAAGAAGGAAAGAGATTGTAAACTGTAATTAAATCCGAAACACAATAATAGGTCTAAACCGAAATCTATAAGCTTTTGACTTGGCTTCTTCTTAATAGTGATATTCCCCTGATGATTAGTTGCACAAGTTCTTTGGATCAGGGAGCTTACAATATGGTACTGAGCTGGGTTCCACTGAGACCGGTTGCTGATTTGATTAGTAATCTGAAGTAAAAATTCTTCTACAAGAGACTTGCCACAACTGTCACCTAACTGACAGATGACAAGGACCGCATCCATTATTTTTTTGCTAAATGCAGCGTCGTCACTTGAACCAATTGCTTCAGAGAGCGGAGTGATGAGCAAGTGGACATGATAAACCATCAGCTCAGTTGAAAACTGATCGTCCTTTAACGCCGTCAAAAACTCATCAATTGCATAAATTCGATGGATGAGGAAAGAAGAACGGTCGCTGATCAGATTAGAGAGACATTGAAGACAAATACGACCACTGCTTTCTGCATGCAACAGAAACGAACTACTGTGACCTGCGCGGCAACAGTGTTCCAACTCTGTATTTCTGTCAAAGTTTCCATAGGTCGACCACTGTGCCATTCCTTAGTATTCGAGTGCACGTCACAGAATCTGAAAATGTCAATGAGGAAAAGGCTGTAAGCTCTGACTTGTGCATGCAAATTATTCTTCCACCCATATACATGAGATCTTGGGATCCCGTATACCTCAACAGCTTTCATAATCATAAATTCAACATGTAATTATTGCGAGTCCCATCGATTCATACCTGTTTCTATACCCTTGATTTTTAGACGCTGGACAACGTTTGAATATAATAACATACACCTCCAGCATGTTACATGTTCATCCTCAAAAACTTATGTCTGGCTTTTCATTCCCATTTGAGTACTTCGTCCAAATCAATATGCCTTGCAATTATTCAATCACTAGGCTCAAACCTGCAATATCCAAATGATTTGTAACAATGAAATTTTCAAACCGCCTATTGCGAAGTTTGATCTCCTTGTGGCACGTTGGTTTGGCGCAAGATTTGATCGCACCAAGAAGAAAAGTCAGCGCAGTAGTGAACGGGTAGCACGTTTTGTTTTGAGAAGCACCAACGCAAGTAATTGTGAACTTACGACAACTTGTGTCGTCATCCGTATAAAAGAATGGCGTCCAATACATACAAACGCCACGCGCGCAAATAATTTCGTCTTCACATTCCTCTATTCAATCGTTCAGCGACAACCACTGGAGCTCGTAAAACGCAGACCTTTGCTTATCTCATCCGTCATTCAATGCTCACCTTCCCAACGAGAAGATGCAAGCTTCACGCAGACAAGTGCAAGTGTTTGCGTCAGACCGACCTTCTGCGCATTTAGAGCCATCGAGGGCATCACGCAGCCCCGGGGTCTCCCTCGAGGCCTTAGCGATTCACGTTGCCGGGACGCGTTCAAGCACTGTACATACCCGGTAGATCCGGTAGATCCGACCAGATTCAAAGCACGAGAGCTGCGAGCGGATGGGGGACGAATGGGTATGAGTTCGAATTCGAATTCGATTGTGGGCCGCGCGTAAGTGGAACGGTGAAGCTGGCCGCGGCATCTTTCCGTCACGTAACTCCTTGAGATTCTGCGCGGATTCGAAGTTTCTCATAGTCTCGACTTCATCATCTCCGCCAGGTATTTAGTTAGCTTTCAGTTCATTTCATTTTACCTCCAATTATGTTTAGAAGCCTTAATAGAAATTCAAATTATTTATATATCGAATGCTCGATGATGCATTCTTTTCAAACGTATTTTTTAAAGTTTAAAAACACTTTGGATGGTGCAAAATCCTTTTGCCCCAATCAACACTTTAGATAACCCTGTCAAAAATGATATACAGTATTACCGTCACTTTAAGGCGTTTGAACAATATATATTCTTACAGTAATCGATACACCGATGGTTCTCAAATTTAAAAATAAAATGCACGTTAAAAGTAATGACTGAGCTTCCAATCACAATGGTCTCATGGAAAACAAAAGTTTCGATATTTCTTGCCCGTGTGAATTTTCATGTTCTGTTGATCTGGAATTATGGAGGAGAGGCTACGAATCCGTGACGAAGACTAACTTGTGTTGCACAAATCTTGCTAACTGCCACCTCCAAATCCTTATTATAGTACAACTTGTAAGATTGGTAATATACTCTTTGTCGACTTCTCCTTTTCAAACGGGTTCATGATGTTTCCCGTGATGTACCTATATACTTGCATTGTGTACATTTATCTTTAGGATAATACAGCAACTACAGCCACTTCTTATGTATATTAGTCAAATAATGTTTTCGTTTTAGTGATACTGTGTTATGTTTATATTTTAAAAATACTACCTGATCTTAATAATTCATATTTATTAGATGATGTTAATTTCATTTTTACTATTTAGTTTTGAAATGTAAAGTTGATTTCGTATGAAATGGTTTTAAGATGATTGAGTTGGATGTTTAGATTAATTGTAGTTTGTAATCAAAATGAAGCTAATTTAGCTATGTTGAATATGAAAACCACATGTTCATTATCATTAGTATTGAGGTTTGAACCAATGAGTCTTCTTGACGTGACTTCAAATCTACCATTAGTTCACAAATGTTGGTCAATAGTAGGATCGATGGAATGATGTATCATCATGTTAAAATATATAGGTAAATTGACTTCGAGTTGAACAGTACAATTGGAATTTCGGAAAACTTTCTGGATTCACTTCACCTTGCAGCATTGTTTCCAATTGTAAATGACATTGTAATACAAGTATCTTGCTAGAATATATAGAAATTTAAAAAACTGAAAAAGAAGTCCATGAGGTCAATTCAAGATCCTCCCAATTAATTGAGATGAGATTTTTATGTGAAATGATTCAGTACCCAATAATGAAATGAGACTTTAGAGTAGGTTGAAGATATCTTTGAAAATCCTGCAAGAGTTTTGACATATGTTTGACAGTAGAGTAGCACACGTATCTTGCTAGAATTTATTTTCAAAAATGAAATTCAATTTAAATCTCAAACATTTTAAAAAGCTGCAAAAGAAGTCCATGCGGTCAGTTCAAGGATCTCCCAAGTGATTGAGATGAGGTTTTTATGTGACATCATTCAATACCAAAAAAAATGAAATGAGTCCTTAGTCTTTGAAAATCCTGCAAGAGTTTTGACATATGTTCGACAGTGGAGTAGCACACGTATCTTGCTAGAATTTATTTTCAAAAATGAAATTCAATTTAAATCTCAAAAATTTTAAAAAGCTGCAAAAGAAGTCCATGCGGTCAGTTCAAGGATCTCCCAATTGATTGAGATGAGATTTTTATGTGACATCATTCAATACCAAAAAAATGAAATGAGTCCTTAGTCTTTGAAAATCCTACAAGAGTTTTGACATATGTTCGACAGTAGAGTAGCACACGTATCTTGCTAGAATTTATTTTCAAAAATGGAATTCAATTTAAATCTCAAAAATTTTAAAAAGCTGCAAAAGAAGTCCATGCGGTCAGTTCAAGGATCTCCCAATTGATTGAGATGAGATTTTTATGTGACATCATTCAATACCCAAAAATGAAACGAGATATTAGAGACGGTTAAAAATAACTTTGAAAATCTTGCAAGAGTTTTGACATATGTTCTTCAATAGAGAGACATTCTATAACGAAAACTTATGTAACAATTGGAATTTGGATTAAATATATGACTGTTAATGATAAAGTAATGCCTTGAAAGCACACAACATGAGTTGTAAGATTTTGCGCGAAGTCATAGAAATAATAAAAATCTCATAGTTTTTAAAAGACACGTGTCTATCAATACAGCTTAACAAAGTTAAGGCTTGGACATTAAAGTTATTATTATATTTTTATATTAGAAACAAATCCTATTACATAAACCTTGACATCTTGTTATGAGATGTATTGCATAATTAGAATATTATTGGAACATATCTAAAAACTAGAAGTACAGTATTACAAGTTCTTTTACATGTAATTACTGTTGCGGAACAATTATACACAAAGTTTGAAATCTTTTTTTCATGATTTTATCTCTAAAGATGTTATCTTCTGATGCAAGAATTTTCCAGAATCTCAATAAACCCAAATTTATGTGGAAGATAAGAATACTATAAGATATAATTAATAATTAATAATAAACTTTTCTATTTCAACGTTCGCATGCTCGATTCTAATGAATATCAATATTTATATGAAAGAGTTACGAGAATCCAATTTGATATAATAATGTCTCTCTAATATATTTATGGCATTCTTTATGTCTTATTTTCATATTCTGTATAGTAATGAAACTCTGGTTGAATGAGAGGGTTTGAAGTAGATAGTCACACTATCTGAAGTGCTTATGGACTCAACGCAATCTGACCCTTTTGGTCCCATCCATGTATTTCTCGACGAGGTTCTACCCATCGTTTCCTGTATCACTAGCTTGCCAGCGGGTGACAACGCTTGTGACAAGGACAAGCTGGCGGACGCTAGAAGCAGAACGTATGCTGCTGATGTCACGGGGGTGACAGTTCAGCTGCACAATGTGACATCGCATCGATGAAAGAACCTCCAAACCAGCAGCAGCAGCAGGTTATGGAATTATCCTCACCCGCACAGAAATATGGGTTCCCTGGTTTGGCATGACGACACGTTTGCAATTTGTCGCAAACTTCGCCGGGCCTGCTCGAGAAGAAGGTTCCACTGCTCGGGTCGGTCTACGCCATTGGACAAGATCGAGGTTCTGGAAGCCGTGAAGAGTCGAAGTCAAGCCCCAGCAGATTTACCGATCCGCTTCGTCTGACGGCTCAGGCGGATTTGGAGTCGGCTGAGGGAAAGCATAGAGGCAGAAACGCCATGGCGCACACAAGCTTTTGATTGCATGCCTTTTACATGGGCATCAGGACAAATGAGAGCAACAGAAAAAGGGTAACTCCGCGCGCGGAGAAACGAAAGCTTGTCTTGTCAGATTGTGGCACGAGCGTTCCACGTACTGCCGAGAGTGTGCGTAAATAGATAGGCTCGGCATTTGTAGGACTCAAGTGCATGGAAGCAGGCGCTGCAGGTTCGGTTGGTCTCGTGGAGACGAGACGGACGGAACTTGTTGGGCATAGAGGATGATCTCGCAGCGCCCGGGGCTGCCACGGAAGCGGGCGAAGATCCTGAGCGCCTCTGGGGCCCACCCGTCATCCAAAATCCAGAGGCGATTGGCTTAACAGTGTAGCTCACCCCGCGATTGCCTGCTCCGGCTCTAAATCGATTACAGTGCGCGACGGTCTGCGTTCGGACTCCCCCCTGGACAGGAATCTGCATTGTGTCGACAGTGTGGCTCGCACACTCTGCCCCTGTCGAGGGAAGTCGGGTTCTTCGCCTCGTTCGGTTCAATTCGAAGCGTGGCGGCGCGCGGATTTTGAATTCTCGCGTGCACATCTACTGTGGTGCGAATGTTCGTCTGCCGCAGCTATCTGGAATTAGACATGGTAGGCTTCGACTGTCAAATTTAATGATGTCCAGGAGCGACGAGACACAGCTCAGATTGTGGAATGCCACGAACAAATTGAATGGGTACTTTGACACGAGGAGCTCGCCACATTCTGGAGCGGGCGGAATGTTGAAGACGTTGCGGAATTGGCATTGAGCCGTAGCAGAGGATCAAATTGAGGAAATCTGCGGGGAAGGTAATATATGTCAGGGAGATCTGTAAATCCATTCACTTGGCTCGGAAGAGCTGGAGCTGCTGGAGGAATTTGTCCGGATTCCCCAAGTCCGATTGTGCAAATAGAGTGGATCTTCGAGCTCCACTCTGTTCCACTTTGAAGTCCGAGTAAGTTGACAAACAGAGCTGAAATTTTCGCCATGGCGACTGGTGCAGTAGTGCGCCAGGTTAAGATAACAGCACCGGACTGCTGTGGTATCAAACGCGGTCCTCTTCAGACTGACTTCTTCGGTCGGCAAGTTAGAGTGCCTGCATCGGCTACTGCAGCAGTCGCTGTTGCCACCAATGTAAAGCAATTCACGGCATCGGCCTCGGACATTCAAACTTTCAAATATAGAAGCAAATCTGATCTGGTAAGCTCCAAAACTTCAACTGAAGAGGATTGCTGTTTTGAACATTTTTCTCTGAGGCTATTCGAGATTAGAATATGGCCAGAGATTTTAATTTATTCATGGAAAGAAAACATCTGCTCCCCTGTCCTATCTTCAGCTCGAGTACCACACATTCAAATTTTAGAGCAAGAGAACTCTCATGTCTTTGGCAGTAATTTTAAAATTGAGTTTTCTATGGAATACCACATCCGACGTGCACTTTCTGAATCAGATTAGCCTACAAGGACCGAGAGATAAGCATGATTTCCTTGTGAGCGTCGCCCTCTCCAAGCAGATTCCAAAGTTCAGATTTCAATCGCAAACTTCTCTCTGATCTGTCTATTGATACGTTCTCCCGTTGCCTTTGCTTGTTTTGCAGCTTAATGCTGCTTTGAAATCGGACGCTCTAAGTGACCCGGTTGCATTGGAAACAGGCCTTAAATTTGAAATTTTTGAAGGCCTGGGGGGACCTGACACTAGTGTCAGTATATGTGAAACACGCAATCTGCCCGCTGCAATTTCACTGGATGAAGCGATGGCCACCCTTCGCTCAGCCATATTCAATCTCCAAGCGAACCCTCTCAGTCAGGAAAGTGGAACCTTGAGGTTGCAGGTCAGTGTGATTTCAGACACGTCTAACATTCAATACATTTATCGCGACAAGAATGCCTTAAAAACTCTGGATTGGCCACTGAAGTACAACCGTGATCTTGACGCTAAGGCCTCTCATGCTGTTTCTTCAAAGTTAGAAGAAATGAGCTGAAGTGTTCTTGAGCATTGCTAATGTCCGATGAAGTTTTATGAGCCTTGTAAGCAAACTTGATATGTGTGATTGCCAAGTCCGGAGGAGCTCCAGGCCTTGAAATGTCGTAGTGAACTATCAATAATTATCCGCAAAACACGTTGTTCATACAGGTGCCGCTTCCACCTGGCCTGAAGGCCTTGCAGTGGCTGCAGTCTCAGCCCCAGCATCTCCATCTTCTGCCCAGATCCTACTTCTCTCCCAGAGCAGCCAGAGGAAGTGGCATCGAAGACACCACAAGTTCTGACACCTCTAAAGACTTTCACGCAATAGACACCAACGGTGTTGGGGGTGTCGCGGGCGTGGGTTCAGCCGTTCTCTTTAAGGGAAACAAGCCTTTCTCACTGAAAGATTGGAAGACTATGAGGAGGTGAGCAGACAAATTTTTAGATGGATAACCCGAAAGATATGACTGAGACTGCTTCGAATGGAACTGTTGAACTCTCTTTTTGAAGTAAAGTTTTATATTTTGGTTTAGGAAAGGCAAATGCTAATACGTACAGTTTGCCTACTTACTTGGTATCTGTTTGCACTTGTCAAGATGGACAATCGTTCATCGTGACTGGGCTGTCTGCACTCCATCAGATGTTTTTCCTACGCTGTTATTGTTAAAGTAACCTTACGACATTAGATTTCATGAAACCTTAATCAGTGAAACCGGCACAGTTGATCTTAAGTGTCTTATGGCTGAGAATAGCCGAGGCTACTAAAGCTAAGAACCCGAGTCGGGCAATCACTAGAAGGCATACACAATAACCGAAAATATACTTGTAGATTGAAGGCGCAAAGTATTTTTTGAAGTTTCATGAGCATGCGTCGTTTCAAAACGACGCATGCTCATAAACTAAGCATTAGGAGCTATCGGTCCTTCAAAAAGAAGGGCCAGGGTCTGATGAGTTACACATGTTGCGGTTGTCATTGTTTCAAATGTTTCGTGCTCAAGTTTTGATGTCACAAAAATTGCAGGTTTCTTTCCATAAGCCATCCGATTATAAGAGCTTACGGAGCCATGCGTTTCAACCCCGAGACTGAGCCATCGAAAGAGTGGCAACCTTTTGGATCCTTCTACTTTTTTATCCCTCAAGTAAGCTTTTCGACTCAAGTGTTTCTTTAGTAGCAGGCAAGCTCATCGTCAATACAAAGTGTCATGTTGCGGGTCCTGCACTTAGGGGCTGAAGTTTACGCAGAGTTTTTTGCACTACAACACTAACAATCGTATTACCGTTCAAGTGTGATATTTGGGTGGTTTCTTCTCTGAACTTTTTTAAAGGAAGTGTGTGATGAAGTCGTATTGTGTGGCAAAGTTTTGTGATACTCGCAGCCCCAATATTCAACCCTTGTAGAGAACATTGAATATATATTTTTTCTTTGTTTTTAACCAATATGTGTGAATCATACTGTAGCATCTGCTCCGTGTTCACATCTTGTCAGTATCCTTTTCTTAATGGTTGGCATGAAACGACATTTTTCAGATCGAATTATGCGAATGTGAGGGTTGTTCCCTACTTGCAGTAAATGTAGCATGGGACAACTCCATGAATTGGACGATTATGAAAGCACTGAACAATTCATTAATTGTGATGCAAACGGTAAGCTTTGTGGTGACGGCTCCGAATGACATCAATTCATCTAGTAGTGTTGATAGAAAGATGTGAAATATCAAGAAAAAACGTTGGCTTATTCGGCTACTGTTCAAATCTTCCACGGATAACTATTTTCTGAGGCTGTTTAATTTTTTTCGGTGCATATGGAACTTGTGCGCAATAATGTTCTCCTTTAAGAACACAGTCTGAATCGTTGATGTTTGTCAACTAGGTGTCAACGCGGATATGTCCAGACAACGAGAGACCACTCGCCCAAGTTTTGCGACGGGAGCACGTACCCGATGAGCCTAGTTGGCATGATGCAGTGGAAAAAACTCTTCAGTTACTGTGCGATCGGGGGGAAGAGATTTCAGATAACGGTGCAGTTTCTTCTGTTCATCCATCTATTTCGAAGGTAAGACAAGTTTTATATATTCTTGTTCTCAATACAACTCTTCTGTTCAATTTTAGTCATGTATACATCTGATCTCTTCTTGACTTGGTTTATATATCTTGTTGTTTTGATAGCATGTGCGGTACACTGACTCTTTACCTTTTCCTGAATTTTATAAACCGTCCAAAGTCCTGATGGCACGTCAGTGGTACTTAAGTGAACAGCAAGATCTGAGAGACATCTGAAATCGGTGCATCCTGCAGCTTGTAAGCTTGCACTTTGATGAAGAGGTCTATTCAGTCGACGCAGATGATTCCATACTGTACTCACGTATGACTTCTTTTGTTGTGTAGGTGGTAATGGCAAGACGAACTAAGCTGGAATTGGACGATCAACTTGATCCCGTTAGTCTTTTGGCCTGTCTTCAGGTATTTTCCTTCACGGGACCAATTCAAGATTCCAGTGAAAATTGAGTCTAGAAATTTGCTGCTAGTTGCCATGAAGTATTGGTTTGGCTGGTTGTCAACTTGTTAGTTCATAGGCACTATCGTAAACGCTGATTTACCCTTTACAGGAAAAAGATCCAAGTGCCTACCAGTTTGCAATACAAGTACCGGACGGAAGCGCCTTCATTGGAAGCTCAGTAAGTAAAAGAAAACTCAACTTGTCGAAGCACACATGGATAGAATATGTGATCTATCGATCTGTTTTTCAGCATGAAGGTGGTGAAATAGAGTGCAGGATAGTGCTCATCTCTATGAAAGTAGATTTTTACATTTTCTAGCAGCCAAGTTTATTTTTTGGAAGGAAGACGGAAGAGAAATCTGCCTATCACTTATCCTTGGACCTCAACCTGCCACTGAACTTCTAGGGGACGGAACTATTGTCCTCAATCTCGTTACATGCACCGAGCATGAGAGCAACATCATTTCATAACCTCACTGTGCTGGAACACATTGAATCATAAAGTACTTGGGGATCTCAAAGCCTTCATTCACAGGGCAAAGCTGTCGCTCACCGAAGTCAAATGTCTTGGGGAAAAAGAACAATACAAGCAAATGAGCAAGCGAAGATATTCTTGGGTAAGACCTGGAAACTTCGAACAAAAATCGAGGAAATCCTGGTACAATAGAGACCGTCTTTACGCCTTTTTACTCACAAACAGTCTTCACTCTTCATCTCACCTCACTTTTTCCCAGTTTAACAGTAGTAGCACCGCTCAGCCAAGGCACAGGCTCAAGGCATTCAAGACATTCAAGCCATGACAGGAGATTTATAATGAGTGCAAAATGTGCACTAACTTAACTAGCTCTGATCATGACCTTTTTATCTTGAAGGACAGCCAGAACGTTTATTCGCAAGGGATGGGCTGCTAGTGGCCAGTGAAGCGGTTGCAGGCACACGCGCCAGGGGTAGTGGTGCTCTTAAAGACTTTCAGCTCGGCATGGAGTTGATGCTAAGGTAGTCCCTGAATCTTCTTGTCTTTTGGAATGGCTCTGGTCTGCTGCTCTCATTTCTATTAAGCTAATGTTGTCGGTATTTGAGTCTGTGCAGCACAAAGGACCATCATGAGTTTGATATCGTGCGAGAAAGCGTGAAGCGTCACATGAAGGTGAAGTCGCGAGTTTAATTGCCAATACCATAGAGTGTCGTTTACCTCTTGGAATCGGTTGTTTTCCATCCAGTCTGTACACGTGATGGCATATGTTACATAAAATGTTCTTTTGACAGATGGTTTGCAAGGACGTGGAGACCGAAGTAAACAAATGTCTGATAAAACAGGAGAGAGTGCAACATCTTTATGCTCGTTTCAATGGAGAGCTTGCCGATGAAGCTGCCGAGGTGAACTTCGTGTCTCTTGAGTCAAAATTTGTTCAGATAACTGTGTTACTCACTGCTAGTTCTTTCTTTGCTTCTCTTTACTGTCCCGTGTAGGTGATATCAAGTCTGATATCAAAAGTTTTGTGCAGTTTGATCTGCTGTCTGTATTGCATCCCACTCCGGCGGTGTGTGGACATCCCCAAGCAGCTGCCAAAGATGCCATTTCCACAAGCGGTATTTCCCTTTAGAATAAGATGATTAGGATACAACTGCTAGATACATCTTTATAGAGTATCTTTTGCATTTTTCCCCTTTGGCCGAACGTTTGCTTGGGTTGTGGTATTACAGGTCGCTGAGTAATTCCACATATTTTACACACGTGTCAATTTTTCTAAAACGTACAGCGACTCTTTTGTGAAGTCTATGGCCAGTTACACTCTATACCATTTTCGGCATCAGTTCTTGGATTTGTTTGCACCCTGCTGCTTTCAGCATCACAGTTCGTGCTTTATTATCTGCTCCCTCACTGAACTTGTGGCATTTACGTTCTTTGCATCTTTAAAACCTATTTCAACATTATTCTATGGGGAAGTAAAGTTTCTGGTAACGCACGTTGAGTTGCCATCAAGGTCTGAAATTCTGGATTGTGTGTCGATCTGATCGCTGCAGAGTCCTTTGATAGAGGTCTTTATGCGGGACCCGTTGGTTGGGTTGGTGGAGGTGGAGCGGAGTTTGCAGTGGGTATTCGTTCTTCTCTAATTCAACCAGGAACTTCCGATAAGTCACCAGAACAACCACACATTCCGCTTACAAACGATGCAGCGTCAAAACTTTCAATCTCCAAAGATTCAGTGAACAACAGGATACCTGCAAGTTCAAGCCAACGTTCACCAGCTTCAAAGAAACCACTGGAAGGGAAGGTATAGTAATTGTTGTCGTGTTTTCTTTTAATATCTAGTCTAACCTTTTTTGAAATAATATGCAGTTTGTAGAGGGTAAGGAGAAGAGCACTCAAGTTCTAGAAAATGTTGTACTTGGAAACACGATGAATTGGTGACGTGAATAGAGTTTGGACAATTCGAGAGCATTATGACAAACTTTGTTAAGATTACAGAGAGTTCTTATCAATAGGTGCACTTGTCACCATGAATACGAAGTATATGTAATTTTAGGGTTGGAGGAATATATCACAAGATATTATGCATGATCATGACTTAGATTCTATAGATGGAAGTTTGTGAATGAAGATGTGATCAATAGAAAGAAATTCCCAACTAAAGAAGAATTGGAGGAAATTGTGGTTGTGGATACAGGAAGTCTAGGAGATATTGCTGACTTATGGTAAAAGAAAATGAGGAAGTTATGAACTTGAACTGAAGAAATTTTTCCTTATTCATATCTTGCTACATCTGACTGCCATATACTTCTGACTGAATGTGCAGGGCACGTGCATATTTTTGTATGCAGGAGTTGGTATTGTGAAAGACTCTAAATCTTCTTCCGAGTGGCGTGAGCTTGAATTGAAGACAAGTCAGGTCTGACATTCGTAGATTGTCATTCGTTTCCTCATTTTCTGCAAGTTAAAAGATTGCTTTCTGGCTTTATGAAGCTGCGGCGGGGGGACCTGTTCTTGTGGACCTCCCTGGCAATATCAGCAACATTGATTGTCTGCCTCAGAGTCGTTACATTAGTTTGAGCTTCTGTTGATTACTTGGAGAAACTGTAAAGTGGAATCTATTATTCCTTATATCTGCCTTGATTTGCTCTGATATGTCTTTCCACCTGGTCAGTTTGAAGCTTTATTAGAACCTCGTCAGCCCTTGGAGAAAGTTGTCAACATGAATGCTTTGTGGGCGAAGCTTATTGTTGAGGAGTGCTGCCGACTAGGAATTACTGTAAGTCATACTTCGCTTCTAATGAGATTTACTTATTTTCTTAATGATTTGATGGATGCTGTTTTCTTGTTCAAACATGTCAAATATGTTCAATTCTTCGTGAATATAGGAGCTGTCCTTTATAGGTCTCTTTACATAGTAGCTGTAAATTAGTGATAAGTTCATACTTCTAAGCATCATAAGATTCATCTGAAGAAGTAGTTGGCTGCCTTCGTACAGGGGTTGGCACTCAAATTATGTCTTCTGGATGCAAAGAAACTCATAGTGCAGGGAAATGAACGCATCAGACCCAGATCTCATGCTGTACACAGATTCAGGATTTGACTTCAAACTTGGACGAATGTTCCAAGTTAGGTCTTGTCTTATTGCAAATGGCTTACAGCGGAAATTCAGCCCTATGCTAAAGTTGCATCAAGTACTATGTGTTATTCCCCTTAGACTCTTAATTAGTTCGTGCCGTATTTGGCAACCTACTGGACAAATGTGAATATGAATTAAAATTTGAAGTGCTTTATCCTTCGACATGCGCTCAATCGTACGACTGGTGTCGAAGTGTTGTATATTGGATGAGACTATTGGTTTGATGAGAAATTGTACCATAGTGAGACACTGCGAAGACCGTCCGCACTGAAGTCCGTAGACGTCTTCTATAACTCAGGTTATGTTTTGTAGCACGCAACGGACAATAATAGTAATTCTTACCTCGTTTGGTGTAAACCCTCATGCTGGGGATATGGATATCTTTTGTGAAAATACTGAAACTATTCAGTTTGAAAATCTGATAGTTAGAATCAGTCTAACTTGTTAGGCTGCAGTACTTTTGTATAGCTCCAGGATCACGCTCATCTCCGATCGCAGCAGCAGCTGCCGCAAATCCCAGAATTACCTGCGTGCCTTGCATTGATGAACGCTCTATGGGTTTCCATGCCGTGGGTTATGGTCGTGGAGCAAATAAAGCTGCTGCTTTAATCACTTCTTCTGGAACGGCTGTATCAAATCTTTTGCCCGCAGTAAGTCTACTTGCTTAGAGTATGTGTTGCAATATAGAGAGAGTTCTATAATCTGCTTTCAAAGTTTACTTAGGCTTCTAGATACATGAATGGGTTTATGCTTAAATTAATATAATCAATGGATTTGAAATGCGAGACGGGGTATAATATGCCTTCACCTCCGTTTATGTTATATAGGGGCATGAATTTCGTAGGACTAATCTTAAAGATACCAGTCTTAGTGATTTGCAACAACTAACTTTAGTAAAGGAAGCTCCAGAATCACGCGTTTTATATATGCTTACAATTACATATATTTAGAGTTCAGTGTCTATTTAAAAGACTTTTTTGCAATCTCTACTCTGATACATATCAAAGTTAGGAGATCCTGGCTGATTGTGTGAACTTGTAAACAGGTAGTGGAATCAAGTCAGGATTTTGTTCCCCTGTTGATCATCACGGCTGATCGTCCCGCAGAGTTGCACGATAGTGGTGCAAACCAGACCATCGATCAGGTTTCGATAGCTCTTTTTGCTGGATTTAGTGGCATGCAATTGGCTAGTCAATTTTTGTCAGAATCATGTGTAGCGAAAGTCATCACAGCGAACCAAGGTTCTGTTTTCCTAGTTTAGCATTGATGAGGTTTACAATAGTATAGAAAACTGTCAGTCCAGATGCATCCTTGTTTACTAATGCTAGCATCTATAACTCTCTTTTTGTGGTTGAACCAGGGAAAACATTTTGCTGGCTTTGTTCGTTACCATGCCAACCTTCCCGCTGCTGATGATAAAATGCCAGCTCGAATGGTTCTTACCACAGTTGACTCTGCAGTTAATAAGGCAATGTCTGCTCCTTCGGGTCCTGTCCATATCAATATTGGATTTAGAGAACCTCTTGCTGGGACACCACAAGCTTGGAATGCAGCTTGCTTAAAGGGTTTGGAAAGATGGATTGATACTGCTGCTCCGTACACACAATACATTGACTGCAATCCAAAGCTTCTAGGAGGTGTGCACCCAACTTATGTTGCAGATTTAGAAGGAATTGCGGAATTATTGGAAAGTGCTACAGAGGGTATGATTATCGTTGGTGGACTCTCAGCAGCTGAAGAAACTTGGGCTGTTGCACTTCTTGCACAACACCTAGGTTGGCCTGTAGTTCCAGACATTCTGTCTGGCCTTCGAATTGGCAAAGTCATGTGCTCAAGCCGCGTTGGAGAAAGAAAAGTGAATATTATTCACAACTTCGACCAAGTCTTACTTAGCAGCAGTGTGGCCCAGTCTCTGAGACCAGATGTAGTACTACAGGTGAGCATGCCAGTGTCAAATAAAAATCAGGACTGACGTTGTCTAGTCCTCTTCTCTTCTCTTCCTAACTTTGATGGATCATGTTTTTCATGCATATCAGATACAATTTTGTTTCGAAAATAACTATTAATCACCGCAGAATACCATTTGTTCTGACATGATTTCTACCCGTCGTTTTATGTTAGATTGGCAGCAGGTTGACAAGCAAGCGACTTTCTCAGTTTCTAGAAGCTGCTAGTCCTGAAGCCTACATCATTGTGGAGGAGCATTCATCTCGTCATGACCCTTCTCACATAGTCACCCATCGAGTTCAAAGTTCTGCTGCAGATTTCTCCTACACAATAATGAATGCTACGGGTTCCAAGCCGCGGACATCATTTTGCAGTCGGTTGCAAATTCTCTCAGAAGTGGTACCCTCTCTATCCGGGACGACGACAAGTTAAGAAAAGTTTATGTGCAACAAGGACTGCTCGCATGTCTAGTTGGTTTTTTACTCAGATTGTTCGGTCATGAGTACAGTTTACCTGAACGCTCGTCATGGTGGATCATGGTACAATATTTCGTGTCTGTCTACCTATTCGTCTACCGAGCTGCAAACTCTATGTTGTTTGAGATACTCCCCATGGATATAATTTCCATGGCTGACCCTTGAGATTTTTTGCCCTGAGAATGCTCGTTCTCGTCGGAACGAAATTCCTAGTCCTGCATATTTCTCTGCAAAAGTTTACAACTGGATTGCCATTCTTTTATGCAGGTCCAGAGAGAAGTATTCCTGCGGTTGCAAGCGGAGTCATCTTTGACAGAGCCATATGTGGCACATTACGTAGTATCCTGTTTACCTTCGGATGGCGCATTATTTCTTGGTAACAGTATGCCCATACGGGACTCAGACATGTATGCACATGGGGCTTTAAATCTCATCGGAGACAAGCACGAAGACAGTTGGGAGCAATCTTTACCTCATTTAGGAGCAAGGGTCGGAGCAAACAGAGGTGCCAGTGGAATTGATGGTGTTCTTAGCACAGCCATTGGCTTTGCTGCAGGCAGCAGGCAGCGGGTAAGAGTCACATGCAAACAATTCCTTCGAAATAGTTTAGGCAGTCCGTCCAAATATTATTCTGCTAATTTGTCCTAGACATTTCATTGAGCTGCAGGATTGAGGTCCGCTGTGTACGTCAGGTTTGTTCGTTCACTTCTTCATCTTCTTATCAATATAAATGATCAACAGGTCACTTTACTCGTGGGCGACGTGTCTTTTCTACATGATACGAATGGTTTAACTTTGCTTTCAGAAAGGTAATTTTCATCACGTGTTTGTTTAGTGTCGATTTTGAGTAATAGAAGAGACCCTGGCAATCAAAAGACGTTCAAAATTGCTACACTGCCAGTATTTTTAATGAAGTTCAAACATAATGGGTTAGACCTCAATATTAAAGCTCCTACAGAAAAGTCACTTCCCCGACTTGGTCTTGCAGAGTTGGACAACCACCGGTTACAGTTGTTGTTGTCAATAACCGTGGTGGAGGAATATTTAGCCTTCTTCCAGTTGCTGAGACGATGCCAGAAGCCTCATTCACGACTCTTTTCACAACCCCCCACACTGTAGAGCTGAAGAAACTCTGTCAAGCGCACAGGTAAAATATTCTCGTCGGTCTCTTTGTTTCTCTGTCATATCTTTGTCATCCATCACCTGAGGATGTTAATGATCATTTTGAATATGGTCTTCTTTTGTTCATCATCTTAGATGCGTCTTGTTTGTAAGCCTCTAAACATTCTCACTGAGAAGTTCGTGATATTGCAGCGTGGACCACTGGTATGTAAAGAGCAAGGAGGATCTTAAGACAGCGTTGCAAGTTGTTCAACGGAGCCCATTGAATTGTGTTATTGAAGTTGAAAGCACAATCGAGGAGAATGCAGATTTCCACAGGTTTTCCACTTTATCAATTTAAAAAACCCTTTGCTCTGCTAGCTCACATGTTTTTATGAAACTGATTTCAATTTTAAAAAGTTATCACGGTGAACAACTTGGTATGCTACGTATGCAGTATTATCGGATTTTAAGTATTCGAGGTTCTTAAGCACGTCCTACATGTGATTCGATCATATGATAGTCGAGCAGGATTTCATATTTGGATAAAAACTATACAGAACCAGCAACCTGATTCTTTTGTTCATGAGAATACTTCAGATGAATCTTCTTTGAATTAAAGTTTAAAACTTGAACTTCGGTTCTTTATTCACCCATAGTAATGCTTGAATTGTAAGTTTTAGCACTCGATCATTGTTTGTTCATTTTGTTTTGTCCCTGTTATAGCTTAGATGGTCATTAATTACGGTAAACCATCTGGAGTTGCAAGGCACCTGACTGCTCCAACAGAAAATAATCTGTGAGGTATTTTCGCAGATTTTTGCAGGTCTCGATTGGTCAGGCTGTTACTCGGGCTTTTCATGTTATCTCGCTGTCCTCTTCTCAGCTCGGAAACGAGGTTGATTTTGGAAGCAGAATTTCTGACGCTGAGTATATCCAGCACAGGTGATCAATATACTTGTTGCTGATTTAGCGCGATTATGATTTGTGCCGTTCCTTACATGAGAGCCTTGTCGGCGGAAAGTTTGGTCGTGTCTAGAACGTTTTCTTCTCTGTAGTAGTCTTAGGTCCTACTAATTTGTCTACTTTGTCTAAACCTCCAAGTTGACCTTATCAGATTTGCTCTGAAGGCACCCCCAACGACCAAAATGAAGCGGAGTTCATCGGGAGATGAGACTAGAGAAGGTTTCCTTGTTCGCGTCACTCTTTTTGACGGAACATCGGGCATTGGGGAGGTGATATGATATGTCCCGATCTCTTGTAGCAGTGAATCGTTTTCCCTTTGTATGTTCTCCTTCCGGTCTCCTTCTCTTTTATGGATTAAATACCCGATATCGTGTTTATTAGCAAAGATCAATAACTAAAAACTCCACGAAGAGGCCAATCCGAAATGAGGACGCTCTTGCTGTGAAGAGGATTTTTGCTGCAGGTGGCTTTTGCTTTGTATAATCTGCTTGGGTGTTCGTTTCTTACCGACGTGTGGTTTGATTGCAGAATGCATCAAATCACAGCTGCGATAAGAAACGAACCTTAGGAGGAAAAGAGTTAAGAGTAGTAGAACCACGCTTCAAAGAAGTAGAAGGTTCCCTTACCACCGTGGAGCTTGCTTGTTTAATCGTTCCCCTCTTTTTAACCATGTAAGTCAAGCACTTTCAAAGCTCAAGAGGATATTTGTGTATGCCTTCGGCAGATAGTACCACTGGAAGGACTGCATGAAGAAAGCTTATTAGATGCAGAAGAGCAGCTACGAGTGGTAATTACAAAATTGAAGGGCCTTCATCTGCTTTCAACCTTAGCGTTGCTAAATGGTAGCTTTGGAGAATGGTTTACTGGGGTGGCTGGTATTCAGGTGTGTATACTGATTTTAGTATCTCCTATGCAATCACACTTACTATAGAAGCGGTTTTGTCCTGGGTCTAGAGTCTACAATATGTGCATGATCCTAGTTGGTTGAAGTGTTTTTCTTGCCTTTCATGGGCCGTCTCTAGCTTGCGAAACTGCACGGAGTAGTATCAGAGTTTTGTGTTCATGACCACACGTGAGAATCTCTGCCACTGTTAATTAAAATGCTCTCAATCTCAGGAAAAGAACATTCTGCCAAGCGTCCGTATGGGCCTAGAGATGGCACTTCTTGCGGCGTTAGGATCTACCAGGAGTTGTTCTTTGTTACAACTCCTTTGTGGCGTACCTCATTCAACTCTCACTGGACCTGTGGACATAAACTCCAATGTACGCGTTTGCGGTCTCCTCGATTCAGAAGGCTCTGCTGAAGATGTTGCGGAGGCAGCTGCGGATCTTGTCAAAGAGGGTTTCTGTACCCTCAAGTTGAAGGTAAATCATGGAGCATAGACTTGAAAATCCATCAGTACAATCTGTAGATGTGAGAAGGGTTTCATGAACCATGTAATGATATTATTTCAGGAATTTGCTTGCAACATGGAATCATCAATTGCCTCGTGATTGAATTTTTACCAAATATTTGTCGGCTCTATGCAGGTGGGTAGGAGATCATCCCCCCTAGAAGATGCAGATGTGCTCAAAACGATACGGAAAAGAGTTGGACCTCGAATTTGTTTGAGAGCTGATGCAAACAGAAAGTGGTCACTTCAGCAAGCATTGTTGTTTGCAGAATCCGTACCATCATGTGGACTTCAGTTTCTTGAGGTGCCTTGCATTTCCTTGATTCCAACGCATGTAGTAACTAGGTTTTCAACCTTGTCTTATTAGGTGAACGGCATTTCTCAAAAAATGTTACGACGAGGGCAAGTTCTTTATTTCCTGTAATGACGCGTAACAGGCTATTTAGAGGCTTATAAATCCTTACTTTTTCGTTGATGATTTGTACTTCTCAGTCTCCTTTCATGCCATTTCTGTTATCGATCTTTATCGACAAAATGTTTTCACTTGTATAGATAGAGTACTTTACCCCGATTTAAAACTTTCATATACTATTACTCCTCTACTTTCTCCTTGTGCTAGCCAATATCTGAACACGTGTAAACCTGCTTGTGTACTCAATGACATTAGCTAAGCTCTGCCAGGTAGTGAGCATATGTATTAATGTGTTGCAAAGTTATATCTCCAACTCGCTCGTTTTTTAGCAAAAAACCTCTAGACTTCGCTCTTATTGCCGATCCCCCGACCTGGCTGATGTCCAAGTGATGCTTGCCATGAAAAACTTGGGGTCGGTCCTTCCTTCTGCATGTGCAGTACAGTGTGGACCTGCTTACGACGACCTGCTTACTGATACTCTAGATGAATATGGTTTTCTCTTCTAGTTGTTCAGTTTTCTGCCGTTTACAGGTGTATGCCTTTTCCAGGCGTTCTCAGCTTATCCTTCACCTATCTGCTCTTTCGGTTCTGTGACAACACTCATACATACTTCATCCCCTGCTTCTAAATTATAAAAGTATGATGCTTTATGTCATCTACTTTAACAAAGCATATCCTTTGTCGCATCATCTGACAGGACGCATAGACTTTAGATAAACGACTGGAAGTGCTGAGTGGTATATGCAAAGCCGCTGATTCCAGTGAAATGAGCTATAGATAGATTCAACTGATACACACTTTTACCAGAGTGGAAGGTTGCTGTAAGCTAGAACCCTCGAGTCAGTATTCAAAGCGAACAAGATAGGGTCTTTCACCAGTCTAAAGAACAAAGTGAGTGAATATGGTTTCCTAACGAGATTGAGGCATTGAAGGGGAGAAAAGTATGAATGAGAGTAGGGAAATTACCCTCAACAGCAGTGGGTGATAATTAGGGCGGTTGTGGCAAAAATATAATGTTCGAACAGGAGGAAAGCCAACTAGCAAGTAACGTTCATTTCTTTGTAATGTGATTAATTAATTGGAGCTGAAAAGGAAATATGAGCCATTGAGTTGTGGTATGTAGTGGCATCTGCCTTATCGAACTTATCTTTTATGCATACGTTATACTTCGCCCCTTTTTTTGAACTTCTATCTGAGTTATTATTCCATAAATTTACTCTTACTGAAGGGTTGGCCTCTGAGCTTTGCTCACTCCAGCAATGAATATATAATTTGTTTTTTGCGTTGCAGGAACCTGTACGAAACCTTCAGGATTTGGTTCAATTTTGCAAGCAGACGCTATTGCCAGTAGCTCTAGATGAGACTTTGGATGAGAATCTTCTTAACGTCGAAACCCTTCTGCCAATGTTTGCACGTATTGGTGTCGTAGCTGTGGTAAGTATATAATGCTTCTTCTCCGTCTTGAAAGAAGTGTTTGGAAATAGAAGTCTAAAGCAATGAAGGTGTTTTGGTTTTTTCCTTACTTGTTTGTAGAATATAGCTGACTCGTTGTCATTTAAATAAAGAATCGTAAACTTAGTAAGGAGTGGATGCTGAAAAATTGAAGTTATACCGCAATAGCTTGGTAGCCGGGACGCCACTCTGCCGAACTGTTCACTGAGAACTTTTCGTTCTCTGTCCAGGTAATAAAACCAAGCCGTGTGGGGGGCTTCGAACACGCTTATAGAATAGCCCAGTATGCTCAGTTGCAAGGAATGATGGTTGTGATCAGTTCAGCTTTTGAAAGCAGCATGACCTTGGCAACTTTGGCTCAGTTTGCTGCATACGTTGATTGGAAACGTTTGAGAGCAATGCCTTCTGCCACATACGACTCGTCAGAGAACCAACCAAATGCCAGCATATTTTCTCCGATCGCTCATGGTCTAGGAACATATAAATGGTTGAAAGATGATCCTCAACTGCACGTGAGAAGCTCAAAGGATGGAATGGAGATCTGTTGTGTTGAAGCTGCTGAGCATCTCGAATGCGTTCAGTCAAGTTTGAGTTTTAAACAGCCAATATTTGATAAGTGTCATTTGAGCACTTATATCATTAGGGTTAACCTTCCGTACGGATCATACTCTTTTCACATCAAGGAGTTGGGTTCTGAAAACTCGAAGGTACAATCTCAACCACGTCGTGTCACACGCACTAGAAAAAAAAGTTCACCTTTATAATATGAGGTTGTCGTAAGCGAAGCTGTCTCTTTCTTGCAGTTGCACCCATATTTAGGATGAGGAAGCACATTGAATGATGCCACAGTTGGTTAGCTTTTAGAACGAAAGGATGTAGGAATTTCACAAGTCATAGGACATTTGTACTAGTTTGATTATAGCCTTCAATACTGCTTGTTCGATTTCAGGAAATTCGATTCACAGTTCGAAGCAAGCAATGGGTCCATGTGTACATATGGAGTCATGTCCTAAGTTGACCTCCATGTTTCAGGTTACACTGAGACAACTGCAGCTGCACTGACGTGGTCAAAGAGGCGGACAAGTGTCTTTTGGGAATCATCTAACCTGTCACTAAATGTTCCGTCGTGGATGCAGTCACCCGACAAAAAGCCCACACTGCTTTTTCTTCATGGCTTTCTTGGGAACGGAGAAGACTGGCTACCTGTTATGGATGCCTTGTCACTCACTTTCCGATGTATTTCTGTGGATCTTCCTGGTCATGGCCACACAGCAGTAGAGACAAGTATATCTAGCCCCTTGCAATCAAGGAGCAAAGCAGAGAGTGACTTTAGCGATGCAGATGGTGCCTGGTCAGTTCAGGGATTAGCATCAGCTTTGTCGGAATTGGCGCAAAGGGTCGGTGAACACAACGTGATACTTGTGGGTTACTCAATGGGAGCTCGTATTGCCCTTCATATGGCTCTCAACAACAACCAAGGGGTAATGCTGAAAACAAGAAGCATAGTTTAGATGGTAGTCTGAAGCATCGTAGGCCGTACAGAACCTATAAGTATTTGATGATCATGTGGTAGTTATCCGACATGGAACATTGATTGGAGAAGATTATACAATATGACCTTCTGACAGATACTTGAGGTTGAGTGCAAGGATTTCTAACGTATTCTCCCTGCTTACAATGCTCTTCTAGATATCCGCTGCTGTTGTCGTGTCTGGAAGCCCAGGCCTTCACAGCTCTGCTGCACGAGATATAAGGGCAGCACACGATGATGCACTTGCTGCATCTTTATGTGAGGGTGGAATACACTCTTTTGTTGACACCTGGTACAGTCAACCAATGTGGAAAAGGTACTTCTAGCTTCTCCCTCGAGTGCTAATTCTGATTGTTAAGAGCAAGAAGATCCGAGCTTAGTTGTGAATGCGTCGTTCTGATTTCCGCGGCATCGTATCGCAGCTTGCGAGCTCATCCTGACTTTGAGCTGATCAAACGATCACGAGTCGAGAATCAAGATGTTCATAGTTTGGCTAAATCCTTATCTTCTTTCAGCACGGGACGACAGAGGTATGTTCCGCAAGCATATTTTGTCTATATACAGTGCTTCGCATTTTATTGTTGCTGCCCATGTTGTGATGTTGGGGAACTAGACAGATTGAGAAACATAGAATTGCGTGAGTACATGGAAGGCCCAGCGGTACACAGTAAACACCATGTTTAATGTATGCCCTTTTAAGCTTTCGTATTTTCATGTTAAGGTGAGAAGATCTCATTATTTTACCTTGTCCTCATGACCCTACCACGATGTATGGGCCTTTTGGACGAGATGTAACACTATCCTCTTTGTTCTGAATTGGACCAACCATACTCATGCTTGCCATAGTTAGTTTATAATTTTGCTTTACTGTCTCTCCCGTTCTCCTTCGCTCGTCTTTCTTTGTTAAAGGATTTCAAAGCGACTTTATATGAATAGCTAATTGAATATATAATATTATAGCTCACATGTTTTCCCCCTTTTTAAATAACACTGACAGGCTCTAAGGCTACACACTGAATGGGTTTTCTTGTCTTATAGATCCTTGTGGGGAGATTTATCAATGGGCGAGGTGCCGCTTTTGTTCGTGGTGGGACAAGAGGATACCAAGTTTGTGGGCTTGGCTCATCAAATGGTAGAGACCCGCAAGAGAACTTCTCAACCTAGGCAGAATAGTAAGAATGGGAAGTCGTTAATGCCAGCCCAGTCTCAATCGAATGAAGAATCCACATCGCCTAGAGACTCTGGGTTATATGCAAAAGACGTAGAGGATGATAGAAGCACGTCACTTCTTGTGATAGAAGGCTGTGGCCATAATGTTCCTGTCGAGAGTCCATTGCGATTGGTGAAGGCTCTCCGTGAATTTGCCACCACTGTCAGTCGTGTCCGCGGTAAGTAGGCTGATTTCTCGTCTCATTTTTCAATCCCAGTAATGTTGTACATAACTGTTAAGCGGTTATTTACCAGGGCCACTTGATAGCATACAGAAGGTGCTCGATGTGAGAGTCATCCTGATGCGCTTCCCTGCTGGGGTGTGGTTTGCACCATCTTGCTTTTTGGCAACACTAGGTGCCTCTAGACCACCAACACCCGTTGTTTTAAGGTGGGTCAACTCCATCTTCAAGGACGAATGCCCTTTGTGTTCGTCTTCAACGTCGTCTTAAGACGGGAGTGTTTGAAAGCCTAGCTGTATCATCTGTCAGGCTAATACTTAGCATACAGAACAGCGTCATTTTTTTATAATTCTAGTATGTTGAGGTTCCAAATGATACCTCAGCTTGTATACTCCTTAGCAAGTCATGGTAGCTGTGCTTCTTGTGTTGGTATTTCCTCTTCTCTCTAGCACTGACCATGGTTACAGTCAGAAGAGGAATTGAGAGAAAACAAGTAGCTGCAATAAGTTGAAGCAGCTACGTTAGGTTCAGTAATTTGAAATCTCCAATTTACGCGTGGGCTGCTTGCTCTTCTTATCTTATCTTCTGATGTGCAAGAAATCTGATACAGCTCTTTGATATTTATGTGTGAGTTTAGGAGCTTAGGAAATTGGATAACAACCAGTTTCTGAGGAGTAGAAGTACAATTTGAGGGACTATAATGGTTTGGGTATTAGTAATACCGTATTACTCTACCCGTGAGTATAGTACTCTCAAATGGCGGCAAGTTATAATGACGTTGCTACAGAATTACCACCACGCTTAACTTGAAGTCTACTCAGTGCAAGATAAGTTTTCGGGTGCCAGTTGCTTGAAGCAAGCCACTCTGACAATTGGAATTGACGTTGATGACGAAATACTTCGTGGAAATTTCAGACTCCTGCAACATCGTTACTTCTAGAATCGATTTTCTATATTTGTAGAGGTCGTCAAAGTCCCTCATTGTTTTCTCATTTCGAAGTCCAAGGATATTTCTCATGATTGATCAATGTTGGGATTTCCATCCAAAATTGCCTTGAGCGAGAACTGACATGGCAATCACTTGAAGAGCATGAGAGGACATGATATGGTAGAATATTAGTCCCTAGTCAAGTGGTAGCGAAAGAGAGTCAACATGAAATCTTAACTAGAGCAAAAGACAGGAAGTATGGTTTCATCCGAACAAAGATTGGACTTTAAACTGCAAGAGATCGACATAATGGGTTTATCTTAACAAAGATGTGCATTTTACACCTTAGGTAGAGATGTTATGAAATCTATGTCCTCTTCACAAGAAACTTTTGCAATTGATATGAAACCTGGAGTACCACCGACTACCGACATATAAACGCTAACGTAGCCAAAATGAAATCACCACGAGAACACAAACAGGAACCTTTATAGTCAACTTGTATTCGATCACTTGATGTCAAGACTTACGCGGATACTCATTGTCGAATTGCATTAACTTGGAAAATGTATCAAAAGAGGTAAAAATGCTACTTTTTTGATGATCATGAGTATCTGCGTACGACTTGATCATGATAAAAACTCTTCTGGTCGAATTGCATTATCATCAAAGTTGTTATAATATGGCAACCACGTATTAGAAAATTATATAGTACTTGACCGTTCTAGTTGAAAAAATTTTAATTTATTGATTTTGAATTCAAAATGGTAAACCAATAATACTTAACAAGCTTATGCGGACTAAAGTTGATAGCGAACTATTAGAACGTTATTTGTCACTATGTCATCAAGTGCATTGATGTTGCTTTTACAAATACAAAATCTTGAATTTATTAAAATTGTGAAAAAATCAACTCGTGATGAGAAAATGAAGTGCAGAATTTTGTATAATTAACAATTATGCATTATTTAGTCTTTTAAAATAAAAGATGAAGACGAGAAAATATTAATTGTGAATTTCAATGATACATGAATCATAATATATAAAATTGACTATGTACTTTTAACTTCAATTTGTGTAGTTATTATTTTTGTTTTGATTGTTAGAAATTGCTATGGTTAGCTTAGGTTTAGGTAGTTATGACTAAGTCTAGTTCATTATAGTTGAATTTATATAGTTATGATAAAGTTTAGCTTAGTGTTTTGTGATCTTCAAACTCACTTTCATTCAAGTTCATTTCAGATGACTTTTTGGTTGTTCATCATGGTTTTAGAAGTTAAAGACTATCCCATGTACACAAACTCTCTACTCATCATTTAATTGCAAACAATCATCTACTTTAAAAAAATAATGAAATTCAAGTTTAAAGATAGTGAAACAAGTATTCACACAATAAATTTTCAAAACTTGCTCTAGAGAGATAAATAAAGATTGTCTCTATTTATAAAATTTGAAAAGTTATCATACCAACAAATGGTAATGATATTCTAATTTACTTTTACAAAGATCAACCACGGTAATTTTGAATAATTCTCAATACATTGCAACAAGTAATTGTACTCATAAATATTCTAAAAGTTTTCTAATCACTAGTTTAAGGTTGCGACATGATATTTGATATTTTTAAATTTCCACAATCTCCATTTGACACTAAGTCAATTTCAAATTTAATCTAACTAATGAAGTTTTCATCACTTAGTCAAATCAAACAAAACTAATCATATAGTCAAAAATATTTTCTCTTGAAATCTATATTTTTGTAAGAAACAAAATAAAAGATTTCACTAAAATCTTCTAGATTTTCATTAGTTATTTAGTGAAATATATACCTTATAGCTAAATATAATCATAATTTGAGAATAATACTTATAACAAGCTAGACTTAGTTTAATCTAAGCTAATCATGATCAAGTCATTGACTTCTTCCAATCTTACTTTACATATACAAAAATTGATTTTACAATCCATACTTGGCGTAATGATTAAGATACTTCTAGAAAATTTGAGTGTGCATTTCTACTTTTTCTTTTATAAAAATTCAAATTCCAAGAGAAATAACTTTTAACTACATGATTAGTTTTGATTGATTTGACTAAGTAATGAAATCTTCATTGGTTAGATGAAATCTAAAGTTGACTTAGTGACAAGTGGAGGTTTTGGAAATTAAAAAGTTTCAAATTTTATGTCACAACCTCAACTTGGAGACTGAAAAACTTTTAGAAGCTTTAGAAAGCTGATCCATTACATAGACCAAATGACATTACTCTAAAGTAAAAGTTTTCCATGATATGGTAAAGGTAATTTTCAATTGATACTTGTGGTACCCCACTTTTGGTATTTTTGAGGAATTTAAAACATTTTTGGAAAACTGTACCGCGGCAGCAGTGTAAATAGCCATCGGTGCATCAAAATAGAGTGAAACTGGATGATCTCGGAGAATCTCGAAAGATCTCGTAGAATCCAGGAGTTGGGCGCAACGTCTAGGACAGCCGCCGTCCTAAACGACGGGCTCTAAAGGAGTACCCCTTCGGCGCAAGGCGCGTAATCCGCCTTCGGCGCTAGAGAAATCCTTCAAAATCTGATCAATTCCCAAACGCCTTGACTTCGTTAGGGTTTCGTTGGAAAGAGCTTGACGCGCTGATTCTAACGAGCCCAAGAACGCCTGGAACGAATGAGGACTCACGGAGTTGTGAAGGTTGAAAGATAGGAAGATCTTCGCCTACGCATAGGCGAGGAAAGTTTGTCCTATGCGCGGACGAGGGAAGTTCGCCTACGCATAGGCGAACTAGGGTTTGACGTCGGCGGGATGTCCGCCGCGAATGCCGCCTACGCATAGGCGGGGAGGACTTGCACCTACGCATAGGCGGACGGGAATCGCCTACGCATAGGCGTTTCGGCGTCGGCGGGAAGTCCGCCTTCGGCCCTAGAAATCCGCCTTCGGGGTTGGAGCTTGTACGGCGCCTTCGGCGCCAGCGCATCACGGATGGGCGAGGACCCAACGGAGTAGTAAATCCGTACAGACTGTACGGACGGAACGGACGAGTGCGCCTTCGGCCGGTCGGGATTACGGAGACAAGAGCACCGACGGAGAGGCGAGAGAAATGGACAGACTGGACGGAGTCCGTTGACCGCGGTCAACGCCTTCGGCGCTGCGCCTACGGAGAGGGACCTGCGCGGACGAACGTCCGGTGTGCGGACGGAATTCGCCTACGCATAGGCGAGCGCCTACGCACAAGCAGATGAAGTTCTGAGCCGGCGGAAACTCCGCCGGGGATTCCGCCTACGCAGAAGGGAGTTCGACTTTTGTCCTATGCGCGAACGAACGCCTTCGGCGGAGCGGGACTAGCCAAAGTTAAGTACGAAGGAGTGTAGCGCGCCGGCGAGAAATCCGCCTTCGGCGCTGGGCGCCCATGTCCGTGGCGTAGTACACTGGCGGAGTTCAAATTGCCAATTTGAGCGTGTGAGTAAAGTCGGCGTCGGCGGAGCGTGAAGCCGCGCGTGAGAGAGAAGGCCGTTGTAGCGTGGAGCCGGCGCGGCCATCAAGTGATTCGACCTTCACGACCGAAAGCCGACCATGACCTCCTACGAGCAGACAGAGGACGCCCCATTCTTGAATTCGCGATTTCAATTTCTGGTGCGAGCTTCGCGCGTCCACCTGCTAGCTCAGAGACATCCTAGACGTCACCGCGCGGAGAGTTACTCGGTGACTGAGAGAGAATTGAGTGCGCGACAGTTGGAATTGAGAGAAATTAGAGTTTGCAGAGGAGGCAGAAGCGCGAGCAAGAGGCTCGGGCAGAGCAGAGAGAGAGTTGCGCGGACCAATTTCAAGAACGCGATGTCGAAATCGAACAGACTGCGGATGATGCCACTTAAGCTTCTGCAGAATTGGTTGCGTGCTTTTGAGGAACGGCTTATTGCAAGGAAACTTGAGTTCTTGCTGTGGGGATGGAATTACGTGTGCGTAGACATGGTGCGCGAATGGTTGGACGCGGAGCGACCATTTACGCGCGGATTGCGTCCGCACGTAGATAGATGGACTGTCCACGATTGGGCACAGGCATTAGGGAGGTGTGCAGGCGACGACGGGTACCTCCTATTTGAGAGTGAGAGCGTCAAGGTAACGAAGCAGGACGAAACGCAATTCGTGGAATTGTTCAAGCGGGAGAGGTCTTCCAAGAACGGGTACAAGACCCGTGACTACAAAGATCGTTTCCGCAGGACTGTAGCGATGGCGCTGCTGCAATTGTTGCAGCCACACTGCACTTCGTACATCACGTTGTGGCAGGTATCTTTCGTAGAGCTCACATTGGCCGGAGCTCCAGTTCACTGGGCGCGTATCCTACATAGGGTGATGCGACAGCATGCATATGAGGAGAGAGGAGGAACTCTCAATCACCTCTCCCCCTTCTTCATAAACTTTTATCGGCAGATGAATTGTTTAACCGCGGCGGAGCATGCTCGATTTCCGCCATTGTCATTCGACCATCCCGGGAAGTATGTGCGGGATAACGAGGTAGACACCGACGCGGAGGATTCGCCAACTTCCACTCCACCGACTCAACAGGATGAGGGAAGAGACACACCCGCAGCGAGAGTGCCGCGGAAACGAAGATGGAGAGAGGAACCGGAGAGAGAGCAACATCGAGAACCCACTGCTCTCATACGGAAGCGGCCACTGCACGAAGTTTGCAGCCGGCCGAAGAAGAAGGCGCGCAGGCTTGTGTTACCAGCCAGCAACACGGAAACGGCGACGATCGCCACAGAGAAGGGAAGTTCGTCCCCGGAGAAGGATGGAACTACGCGGACGTCCGCAAGAGCGGTGGACCACGCTACGCCTTCGGCGGACGAGAGACGGCCTTCGGGTCAGGAGTTACCACGTGCGGTGCGGACGAGTGTGCCGCCTACGCATAGGCGACTTCCTTTGGATAGGCGACCCCTTGCGGACGTGGACCTCCGCCTACGCGTAGGCAGAGAAAG